ATATATATGCACGGTCCCGGTATATATCATTGACAAATGAATATCTTGTAATGATAGTAATCAAGAAGCAAAAAAGAGAATTAAGTTACACATAAATAACAAATTAACATCTTGTAATAACAGTTATAAATTGCAAAAATTAAAATTCACAAATTTAAATCTTGTAATGCCAGTTATCAACACGCAAAAATAAATCGAAATCATTAAGGGGGCGCCCATTGTCGCGCCTCTTGGAAGAAGGTCCCCTAAACCCGAGCTGGCGGTAGACTTCGACGGAAGCCTTTGGGTCCAATACATGGATGCGGAATGCCGCCAATGGCAGTGTCCTCGCAAAATCCATGTTATAAAAAAACAGCTATATGAGCCAGAACTCAGCAGTGAAAAGTGACAACTTTAATTTTTGTCCCATTCAGGAATTGAATTCTGAAGTCTTCTAATCATGAGCCAATGGAAAGCAAGCTATCTGTATTAACAAAAAGGGAAGAGTATGATAAAACATTATTATAATTTGTTTGCACCCCAAAATAGAAACGGGTATGCAGTCGACATCATATCACGGCTTGACTGAAGCGACGGGGAGAGAAGGGTGGGGGGCGGGAGGGGCGTGGAGGGGGGCACTGGGAAGGAAAGTGCGAGGCACAGCAGCACGCGCAAGTGTAAAGGGCGGACAGAGCGGGGCCAGGTGGGGACGGCGAGCTTCTAAATATTACTTACATATTGCGCTATAAATAAATTTGAAAGAATACTTGAGGAAAGTTTGAAAACATTCCACGGGTTTTTTATAACGTACTCCCAAAAATTAAAATGTTCGGTCGATAAGCATTGACTTCCTTCAGTTCGATCTGGAAATTTTCATCATGCGGAAAATCGTATGTATAGTTTAGTTGGTAGTGTTGTTGATATATAGACGGACGGACAGAAGTTTTTAAAAATAGCCCTTTTTCGTTATCAGGAATCCCCTTAATGAATATTTCCGTCAAAATCTTAATATCGATTGTTTACAGCATTACGTAATACTGCATTGCGTAGCACTGTAACATAGCAGCATTGTACTATAAGAGAAAATAACAAAAGTTTTTCTTCCAGGTGGTGATTGTTTTCACTAATCTCGTCACCCTCAACCCTCCCATGGGGAAGATGATAAAACTGGTGAATGAATGCTACCGCATCGTGTGTTCGTCGGTCCACGCGCATCAGGGATGCGTGAATAAGGTCTCTCTTTTTGACAAGGACATGATGTTCCTCATCATTTTCGGCTTGCGAGGCTTCAAGCACGAACTAGAAAGTCAAATCGCCCTTCGCTGCGGAGCGGAACTTCACGTAAGTATCCCTTGCGTTCATACATTGCGTTTTCAAAATATGAGATTCATAAACGACGTTGACTTCGCATTATCAAATCTTTTTGAATCATCGTCATATCAACGTTTTGTGATTTATTTTTTATTTTTCATTGATATGCGCTTTGTTCTCATTTACTCTTTTATGATGAATCCCAGTGATTTTTTGCACAAAAGGATGAGCTGAAGAAACTTTACAATATAATTATACTACATATACCCTCCATATACCCTACATATAACATCGAAAACTCCATAAATATTCTCTCATGTCGCTTAGTATTGAAATGAGTGAGGTTTACAAACTCTAGAAGAGTACAATCACTATTCACAGTTAACCAAGATTTAAATATGTTCTGCATATAAAATTGAAATGTTTTATACTTACCCAGAACTATACATGTATATTGTAGTTATGTATCATGCTATCCATCTTAATGTAAAAGCGTAATGCTTCACATATAAGTACAATCACTTAAACTTTTTCGTAATGGGTCACGTATCAAACGATTGCTAGACATTGCCTTGATATATTCTCATTGAACTGCTTTTAAAAAGTCAGTCTTTGAACTTAAAGAACTCCCTATAATTGCTTCACTAAATGCAATCTCATGCAAGAATATCCTTGCGTTGTGTTCATATGAGCTCATAATCACACGCATGACGAAATGTAGACCGCTTTCGGTTTCAACACGCTAAACAAAACGACCAATGACAACTACAATTGTATTGTAGTTAGAATTGAAAAATTATGGCAAATAAGTGTTCACTCTATTAGTTTTAATCGCGAAGCCTGTTAGAACACTCAACTCCGGTGTATGCATGAAAAGCGTCGGCAGCTAATCGGGCACTAGAGTTCAGCGACATCACGCGGCCAATGGGAGAATCCTTTGAGGCAATGGCCGAGATCATGTGGCAAGTCATCGCCATGCGCACATGGAAGTGCAGATGGCGTTAGTCCGTGTACGCGAGTCGTAATTAGGCGAAAAGAAGCCGTGATAAGTTCCTTCATTCACCGCGTGATGTCACTGAACTTAAGTGTGCCCAATTTGTTGCCGACGTTTGTCGTACATTCTCCCACCACTCCTCCAATGGCGGAGTAGAATCTGCTTCTTACAGACTGCACACTTTCTTAAAAAGTAGTGATTTCACTACAAAACCAGTTAATAAGCGCAAGTGATAAGAGATCTAGAGGCCTCTACCTTTCATTTAAAGCAGAAATCACGAAGTTTGCTTGGGTAGAAACCTCTTTCATTATAAATGAAAATCCTCAACAGTATTTGTCAGATGCGATGTAGGCATGCGAGTGCTGGGTGTGTGCAAGAGGGGTTGCGTGCGCGAAGGAGCGCCTGTCGACGGTGGACATGGTGCGCGTGACGTCGGTGGGCATCACCACGGGCATGACGTACTGCGGCGTGGTGGGCCACACGCTGCGCCGCGAATACTCGGTGATCGGGCCCACTGTGAACAAGGCGGCGCGCATCATGGTGGCGTACCCCGGCAAGGTGACGTGCGACCGCGAGACGTTCCTGCACTCGCGCCTCGACTCCAGCAACTTCATCCTGCAGGAGCACAAGGAGCTCAAGGGCCTGCACCAGGTGCGACGGAAAGCATTTGCTTGCGGTTCAGGTTTTCCTCTAGAATCGAAATTGTCATAGGACGGGACAAGCTAGAAACATTTGTTTCTGAGTTTATATTGCTCATAAATTGTGTAGAAACAAAGAATGTCAAAGATTCCTAAGGAGCAATTCTTTATTAAATAACCAGATATTCTACAAACTTAACTAGTGGTGTTACAACAGCACGTACTTTCTCGCATTATTGAAAAGAGTTTCGTAATATTCAAATGTCGGAACCAGCTATTACTTGAAAACGTCCAATTCAAGCAATTCAAACAAAGCGCCTGTGACACATTCGTTTCCATAGTCAGGAGCCGCAATCATTTCCTACTTTTACAAATGAAACAAACATCAATAAATTTAAATTACAGCTTTTGCAGCACAGAATCCAGGAAAGCAAGAATACTTTTACACAAGTCTGCATCTGTTATATTCAAGTGACCTTTTAATTTTTGAACACCATAATACAACTTAGTACGTCTCTACTTGAAAAAGTTAAAATAATATGAATCCCGTTCGACAATACAATTAGTTAAATAGTTAGAATCATTAATAACCATTTGGTTTTTTCGACTATGGAGCACTGATAACGGTGGCGGTGGTGTAACGGTTAGTGTATGGGACTGTTATACCCAATTTCGCGGGTTCAAACACGATCGAAGCCCTTAATTTGTAAGGGCGAAATAATCCTTCGTATGCCTTCTTCAGAGAAGTAAAGCCGACTGTTCCATGTTAGTAGATTTACTGCATGTAAAAGATCAAGCCTAAATGACGTCTCTGAGCCCAATTCAAATCGCCTGTTCCGTCGTCCAAGAATTACCTCCTTTCTCCGCTACTTGGTGAGAGGAGCGTAGCGTAATGTGCGTGGTCGGACGGAGGAGCGGGCCTCGTGGCCAGAGTCCCGCCGAATCAACTCAATTCATTTCACTTTACCACTCTTGCGCACTCTTAGTGGCCGATAATACATTCTAAAATAAGTTTGTAAAGACTGTTTAACTTAAGAAAAGAGAAAGAAAGAACTAACCCGATTTTTATTGAGTAATTACATGCCTTTGGCCAGTTAGACCCTTGGCAGCAGACGAACAAATCGAATATTAAATATAGAAAATGATTAGCTATAAAATTGCAGCGGAACGTCCTACAAACTACGAATCTTTGAGAGATTTTAAAACAAGACACTTCACAACGTTTCAATTATTTCTTTTCTGTTTCTTTTCAGTATTTTTCTTTCAAAACAAAAACAAATATCTAATAAGTTTTCTTATTCTGAGTCTGTAGTGTAGATTCCTAAAAATTGTGGCGGGAAATCTTACCGATCTTACCCGAAATTGACAAACGATAATTTTAAACAGAAGCTCCAAGCACGATTTTCGCTGTGAGTTTCTGCCCTTTCAAATTTAGAATAACTTGTCTCGTGCACTGACGTCTTTCCCTAAGTAGCAATCGGGTCGTGTGTTGCAGGCGGGTCCCATTTACGAGTTTCGAGAGCACCTGATGCCGAAGAAGACGCACATTCTGAGCAAGTTCCCCCTCCTGTCGCGCGACGACGAGATGGGGCTCTTCCAGGTAGTTTTTCCTCCGGTTTTTGCTAAAACGTTGTTTACATTTCAGTTCAACACTTTTAGATCGCTTCCAACTCGGTTATAAGAACGAATATATTGTACTAAACAAATAAAAATATGCACTTAGATTCGATTTATTACTAACTCTGAAATTAACTTTGAGAAATTGGTGGCATAATACTCTAACATACAATAACATTACAGAATTAACAACTTAACAAAATTTACAAACTTTACTAATTAACATGAGTAATTTTGGAAATTCACGGCAGACGTCAAGTGGTCATAACATTAACGTAGCATTAGAATTAGCAAGCGCGTAGAATTTCTTTACTTTGTAAAGAAGGTGATTCCAGTAACTTATATTCAATCTGAAATGTTCCGTTTCGGATATAAAGAATGTAACTATACATGTAAGATGTGTGTAGTTTTAGGTAAAATATGTAATAATCCAAAATATGTAAAAATATGTTAGCAACAATGGTTCTAATTCGTTCAGAATCTCTTGTAAACTCTTAAAAATATTATATAATGCAGGTATCTGTTCCTGTAAATACATGCATTTACAGTAAAATCCCATCGTGAATCTAGTTATGAGTTGTGTTAATCCAAAAGGAAGTGAACTCCACGCCTGCCTTTGGTTGCTTTGCTCCAGGTGCTTTGCGACGAGGCCAAAGTGCGCTACAAGCCAGTGAACCGGCGCTTCAGCGCCGCGTCGGTGCGCAGGACGCTGAGCCCGGGGGGGCTGCGCGGAATGGACGACGCGGAGAAGCCCTACAAGAAGCTGAACAGCATCAAGAGCGCGCTCAAAGACACCTCGGCGGGCGCGGATCGATGGAAGAAGTCCAATCGATACTTCATCTCGGGCTTAGTGATACGAGCGGAGCCGCGCATGGGCAAATCGCGACTCTTGGACGAAATGATTCATTCTTCTCGAGCTCCTGATGTAAAAGTGGCCAGAATAGCGCTAACACCCAAGGACTTCCAGATGACGCTTTTTGGTATTAACAGGATTCTAGAACCGATTCTTAATTTCCCAGACAACGCGAGTTACAGAGAAAAAGAAGAAAGACTCCTACAACTCTTGAGATACGTTCCGGAAACAAAATGGCAGTACCTCTACACACTGAATGAGTTGTTCCAAACGACAATTGACTTCAGCCGAACGCACCCTTCGGAGCGGTGCCCGGACCCACTGAAGGCCATGAAGCGCGCTCTGTGGGTGCTTCTAAGCCAAGCAATTAAGACTTTTTGGATAATTGGAATCGACGATTTGGAATTTTTGGACGCCGCTTCGTGGACTTTGTTTCCAGTTCTGTTAGAAAAAGAATTTGGATTTTTCGTGATGGCTCTTGGCAATCGGCTGGATCTGGCGCCTTCCAGTGAAGAAATATTAAAAAGGAATAAGCATTTGTATCACGTGAGCCTAGGGGGCATCGACAAGTGGTATCAAGTGGGACTAGCCTGCCAGATCCTTGACGTGTGGGCCATCCCTCCAGAACTAGAACGGGTAAGGAAATTATATTTATATTGACGTAAGAGATAAAGATAAATCAGAAAATGCGGTGCTCTGAATCTCAATAAATGCGCGGTGACGTAACTAAGAGCTTATTTTTGAGGAATACTTAAGTGTTTATTTATTCGCATTTTGAATTCATAGTCGTCACTTATGTGTTTGCTTAAGCATTCATTTATTCTTATAAGTGAGCTTGTCTGTACCATTAAGCGGACCCTTATTATTCAACGTGGAATAACATAAAAGGTTTTTAGGAGTTTTTTTATATTATTAAAATCAATATGGAAGATCGTATACCAAAACGATATTTGAGATACACGGAAAATCCTTTGGAAATGTGTAGGCAACAAGAATTGAAGATGGACATGGAAAATCCTTTGGAAATGCGTTGGCAACAAGAATTTAAGATGAGATACCGTTTTGGAAAGGGTACGGTTGAAAACATTAGTGCCTCTCTTGTTCACTCGCAGCATGGGCTTTATGTATAGAGGATAACCATTACCACCAGACTTAAAAATTCTAATGGCTCACAGATTTTATGCAACATCATTTCAGTTACATAATTTATTGATTTCAGTTGCAGACCACGGAGGAGTACCTACGAGGACCATAGGTTATCTTACAATATTTATCACAATTCATCATGTGAAAAAGTAATTTTATTTTTTGTTTTCAGTTGATATGTGCAGATCTCTATAGAATAAGTCAGCACTCAGTTTGTAGAATCATTACAGAAATGTCTGAAGTGGTATCAAGAAATATTAAGAAGTTCATATAATTCCCTTCATGTGCTGTACAAATATCGTACGCCAATAATTATACTTACTAATCTCGCAAAATCGGAAAAATTCTACCATTAACAATTATCCGCACAGGACTTAAAGCATAGAAGCAACGAAAGGAAAGTTATAATTTATTTTCTCTTGATAGTCTATCGATGAAACAAGATGCTATTCATACGCCTATTCGTACGCCAAAATTGTAAGCGTGGTTGACACGGCCTTCTATATTCGTGTTGAGTAACCGATAAACCAATGTTGCCTAATATTATGTAGCGAAATATTACCTGAGTGCGGTCTATGAATACGAAACTGTCGTATGGTTCACTTATTCTAAGTAAATGCTTATTGCTTAAGCGTTACTTATCGTAAAAGTGTCGACTATGAATAAAAACGCAAAGCATGGTGCGTTTATCTGGACTATCTTAGCAAGATAGTCTGGTTGCTAAGAGAGTGCTTCACTGGGAATAAGAACCGAAAGGGGGAAATATAATCTTTTATAGCAAATAATATTCAGGAGGACATTTAAATTCTTGATGTTTTCCGTTTTTTTCTGAAATTTATAAATAACTCTTCAAAAAATTAGAAAGAAGATGCATTTGACTATAATGTAATGATTAGGAAATATTAGAGTTGATTTTCTGGGATACATTTTTCGACGAGGAGTTTAAATGTTTCATTTCTCGTTCAGTTTGAGGTTAAAAATGTATTTTATCATTTGCGTCTAAGCATTAAACAGGTAAATTACACAGTAAACAAGGTTAGTAGACAGAATAGCAATAATAACATTCGAATCCAGCCAAAGTACGTACTAATAACGTACCGTAAGTAACAATTATTTATGCGCACATCAACGCATAAATAATTATTAGTGTAAGTGTGTTATAGGACGTTCATTCCTATTCTTCAGCTGATTCACGAACGCAGTGGAGGCAATCCTGGCTGGGTGGAGTCTTACTTGGTGACGCAAGTTCAACAGAACGTGCTAAAGGTAATAGCACTTTCAAATTTCACACCGCTTTTTAAAGAAGTTTCGCCCCTTTCCAAAAGGCAAACGAACAGGATCAAAATTTCCGCGAGATTCAAAGCGAGTCGAAAGAACGCTCGTCCAACCAATGTGGGAAAAATGGCCGTGCTTCTGTCTTCTATCTTTGAGATAAACAACTATTGCAAGCGCTTCCACTGTCCTTTTAACATAGCCCTAGCACGATTCGAATGATTCACATCTGGCATTTCACACGTACAATGCAAAGTGGTTGTGACACACAAGCGTTGCGTCACCGCGCGTCAAGTAACCTGTGTTTCACATTTATGCGGAATATGAGCGACCTCGGCAACTTGCCAATGGATGTCACCTAGCGAGTGTCGCCGAACGCTGAAAACGTGCGTTCCCTTTGATTTACGTTGACGTTTGGGCTGAAGGACGCAGTGTCTTTGCGTACATGGTTTTATCAACGCGCGTTAAATGGAGATTTGAAATTCAAAAACGCGATTCTTCTGTGTTCGATGGATTTAAGCTATATCGCAAGACATTATTAATATAATTTTTCAGCCCTTTTCATATCCTATTGCCTTAAAATTTTTAAATCATCAGTAAAAAAACACTTGAATTACATTAGACTAAACATGAATATAAATTAAAAATATTAGACCCAAGGTTTGAACCTCCAGGCCCTTCAGGATATCTCTTGTCAACTTTCTCTAGTTTTGCAACAATTTTCGAAAATCCCAAAACTTCAGATCATGAAAGAAGGCCACGTACAGTTTTGAAAAATGTGTGGTTACGAGTAATTCTGGCACAACTACGAATCAGCTAATTTTAATTTCCCGGTTATCTTTTGCCGAAGAAAGGTTCTCACGAAGTAGCTGAAAGGTTAGTTGACTACAATTTTCAAAATTATAATACGAATATTACGTAGCCTTTAATCGTAAATATGTAATGTAAACCTGTCTTGAATATATTCATGTTAGTCGTTTTCTTGTAATTGTATCAGTTTTTTAAGATTATATATCAAACCAAAATACCCTCCCAATCTACTTTTCAACTCACTCCTACATACCTTTACCAACCCATCGGCACATTCGCTCTTCCACCCACCATCACTCACGCAAACATCTCATTAAAACCCTAAATTATGAGGCAGAAAATTAAGAGGTGAAAAGCATGATGCATGATCTCGCGAGCAGCCGCACGCTCAACTTACCACTCACACCTCACTATTACACTCACCCACTCACTTCATCCATCCAATTGCAAGCACCGAGGCAGAGCAGTGAGGGAGCGGGCGCGGGCGCAGGTGACGAGCATGACGCAGGACGAGGCGGACGCCATGGGGCTGGTGCGGCCCACCCATTCACCCGCGCACCATTACACTCACCCACTCCATCCATCCAATTGCAAGCCCCGAGGCAGAGCAGTGAGGGCGTGGGCGCGTGCGCGGGCGCAGGTGACGAGCATGACGCAGGACGAGGCGGACGCCATGGGGCTGGTGCGACCGCTCGCTCACCCACCCATTCACCCGCGCACCATTACACTCACCCACTCCATCCATCCAATTGCAAGCGCCGAGGCAGAGCAGTGAGGGCGCGGGCGCGGGCGCGGGCGCAGGTGACGAGCATGACGCAGGACGAGGCGGACGCCATGGGGCTGGTGCGGCCGCCGGCGCGCATGATCACGCGCGCCGCCGCTCGCAAGGCGCGCTCCGCCGTCGACCCCACGCGCATGCACCCCACCGAGGACCGCTGGGAGATGTTCAAGTCGTGCTACCACGAGAGCAAGGAGAACGTGACCAAGACGGGCGGCGACAAGCTGGGCGCCATGTGGGGCCCGGCCAGCTCGCCCGACGTGCCCATCACGCAGAACATGCGCCTACGCCTGCTGCAGTTCGCGGGCAACATGGCCGTCAAGAAGACCCGGGGCGAGAAGGCGAGCGGGCAACGTCTTAACGTTTTTTTGGAAGTGACTTATACAAAGGCTTGGTTGCTACGTTTTCATTTCTTACTTTTGAATTCTTCGATAGACTTCCAAGTAAAAGGAAGAAGTATTTGTTAAAATTCGTTATAATCTTTAGTTAGGTCATCTCCATTTCGTTTCGGTTACGTTAACCTCAGAACTATGAGCTTTGCTTTTTTTGTGTCCCTTTGGTAGTAGTGACTTCTTCACTATTGTCAGGAGTATCCAATGGTAACAAAATTAATTCAAAGTCAACAACAAAACGAATGCCAGCACCTCTTTTGACTTTATTTCTCAAATATATACTCTGTGATTTTGTGCATTTCATCGTTCTGTGAAAACATGACTATAAGCATTGAAAGTCATTGAATCTTATTGATGACCCATCACATGCAAAAATTAATGAGAAAATAAACTTTCAAACATTTCAAATGAATTCAGTACCGAATACACGGGTTACCCCAAATCCTCCTCTGCGCTCCTCCTCTAACTTAACTTATTCAGACTAACTGAGCCTGTTGACCATCGAAATAGTTCCTCCATCGTCTTCCTAGCTAAAGAACCAGTTAGGTGGCCTACACCATCCTTATATATCTTCCCCACAGATACTTTGTAGTAGCCCTATCATGACATCCTCTCATCAGTTGGCCGGGCCACTCCGTGGAGTGGTTACTGCAATCTTGGGCTAATATTTAACCAGTGAAGAGGACGTCCACATCAATTTGGGAGCAAATGAGAAAGTTTGAAAGGTGTCCTAATTAATATTATAGTGATTTTAATTCACTGACTAATTCGCAAACCGCAATTCACACTAAAACTGTTAAATGTCGTCTTAATATAAAATCTACTCCAGGTTGCAACCAACGTTTTGAGAAGCAGAACTAGTGGGGAAGGCTCTCTACAATACTTTGTTGAGATTGTTGTGATTTGTAGGTTGTTCACGTAACTATTGATGTAATAATAATAATAATAATAATAATAATAATAATAATAATAATGATATTAATAATTTCGGTGTCGGACCAGAAGTTCGCGTGTACGAGTCCCGCCTCGGACATGGTTGTCTTTCTGTATGTCGGTATGAGTGTGTCGTCGTTTTACCCCTCATTATCATCATAATTTCATCTTACATGCTAACAACCCTGGGGATTGAAAATTGGATTCAGCTAAATGCTGGTCCCAATTGAAGTGACATGCACTTACCACCGCGATAATGATACTGAGCCACGGTAAATGCATGGTGCATGCATGCATGCATGCGTGGTCGTAGTCGGCCTATTCGCGAGCCAAAATAATAATAATAATAATAATAATAATAATAATAATAATAATATTAATAATAATATTAATAATATTAATAATAATATTAATAATATTAATAATAATATTAATAATATTAATAATAATATTAATAATAACAATAATAATAACAACAACAACAATAAGCTACGGGAACAATAACAATAACAACAATAAGCTACGGGAGTGATCCCGAAAATGACACTTCGGGCACTGGAGTGTCTTCACTTGGATACCAGGAATGTATATCATATGCAAAAGACAGTAATTTTGAATACATGCCGTATTGTCAGAAGCCATCTGAACCTTCAGTAAAGCAACCACACACCTGGTCATCATACCTGTGTGTGGTTGACATACCGACCAGTAGATACTGTGAATAATGTAAGACAATAATAATACGGTCTCTCCCGTGCAGGTGATCGCCGTGTGCATCCTGACGCCGGGCACGCAGCTGCTGGGCCAGGCGGACGAGGACTTCACGATCGACTCGATGATGCTGAAGGTGTTCGACTCGCTCACCTCCTACGAGCAGATGCTGCTCAAGTGCGCCGCGGTGCTGGGAGAGACCTTCATTCGGAAGATGCTCGTCGCGCTCATGAGCGACCCCGACCCGCGCCAGGTGCGGCGCTCCGGCTCTATGCCAGCGGGCAGACGATTGAGCTACTAGACAGTTGCTTAATACGATTCTCTCTCACTCCTTTCTCTCTCTCTCTCTCTCTCTCTCTCTCTCTCTCTCTCTCACACACACACACACACACACACACACATGGCTCTTGGCAAAAATGTATTGAGCTGATCATTTTATTCATTTTATGCATTGATCTTTGTAAAATTATCATTCATATATTGTTCGTTATAATAATTCAAATTTACAGTCAGTACACTACTCGCATTGTCAATATCAAAAATCGCCATGAGCATAAACAAAATACAAGCAGCCCTTTCTGACCCTGCCGCTTGCTGCCTTTGCCGCTTTGCTCATTCCACAGCCTGCTGACTTGCCACTTCTGACCCTGGAGCTCGCTTACCCACCCTCTGGCTGACTCGCCGTTGCTGCCCCTCGCGCATGCTGACCCTGCCACGTGTTGACCCTGCCCCTCGCTGACCTGCGCTGCTGATGCAGTCGCTCGCATGTTTACCTAGGCCTATACAGCCCTAGCTGAAATGTGTTTTCCACCAAAGTGCCCACCACCGAACACCTGAAATGTGGCCTATTCTGAAACATTTCCGCTTCAATTGGCAGCGCGCGCGTGTGCGTGTCGCAGCTGGCGCTGTGCGTGCAGAAGCTGTTCGAGATGCAAGTGCTGACGTGCGCCAGCCTGGACTTCGGCTCTACGCGCTCCACCTCCACCATGTCGGGCACCACCTCCTTCTCCAGCAACGTGGACGCGCTCACAGGCGGCATCGTCTCCTGCCAGTGCGCCAACCTCGAGGTGGAAGACGTCTGCAAGGACCTGCCCGACTACGCCAGGTACACTGCAATAGCTTCCTGCTCTTAGACTACGTACTCACTGTGAGCGAACATGGAGGTGGAAGACGTCTGCAAAGACCTGCCCGACTACGCCAGGTACACTGCAATAGCTTCCTGCTCTTAGACTACGTACTCACAGTGTTTAATCAATCGCCTGTGGCTTGTGGTAGAATGGAACGTAGTTTATATTTAAATATAACAAAAAAGGAAACATTTCATAAATAATGGTAACGGTAAAGAATGTATTAATTGCTTAAACTACTTGAAATTAAGCGTGAAAATTAAATAACAGGCGTCATATTGCGATAGGAAAAGAGAGATATAGACCCATTGTTTTCTTTATCACCCTATCCGACCTCCAGCCACGCCGGGTGTAAGATTACGTCGTGGGCTGGTTTGATTTGCCTCAGCCTCTGCGCTTGGTCCTTGGCGAAGATATAGGTCTGTTACTTATTGATTTAATTGAAAGTGCTGTCACTAAATGGAAGGTCAAGGGACGAGCTCGTCCTCCAGGCCATTGTAGTAATTAACGAAGCGAGTGTATAAAGATGTGTATAATTTCATGAATGGTATGTTCAAGAAAATTCACAGAAAACATTTTCACAGAAAATTATCACAGGTCACATTTCGGTGACTGTTAACAGTTGACTTTTCATGAATCATGTTTCTATTTCTTGTGACTGGTCCAAACGTGTTGTGATATTTGTCGCCGGAGCATTTTTGTTCGTCTGCCGCAGCTGCGCGTACATGCGCTTCCGCATGCCCAACTTTCGCGACACGATCTACTCGCTGCTGACGGACTCGCAGAAGAAGGAGTACCACGAGCGCGCCATGCGCTACCTGGAGCAGGAGACGCGGCGCTGCAAGGCGTGCCACGGCCGCCACTTCATCCTGCTGCTGGGCACCAGGTGCGCGTGCGCGCCGCGCAGCGAGCCTTCCCTCTGCCTTTGCCTTCTCTTTGCTGCGCTCCACTTCAACCGGCGTGCGAAGGCTTCCGAGCCAGGCAGAACCCGAAACTACAGCGGCAGAACGACGAGACGTCGTTGAACAAACCAAGAAAGTTATTACAGATTATGGGTACAAGGAAGGCGTGATAGAAAACGTCGTGACAGTGATTGTTACAAGAGAGGTGCATTTCTTGTTACCATATAAATTAAGTAATTAGGTAATGAAGTGTAAATAAGTGTTATAATGTAGTGTAGGCCGTAACATTTATTGCAGTTAGTGAAGAACATAATGTGTATCCGTTGCGGAGCGGGGTGCTGCTTTATACAATGCGTGTCCCTGATTTGGTTCCTTTTATAAGTATTAATTTCAAGTGTTTATTTTCATGTCCCATGCTCAGAGGTACATGATCTGGCAATGTTGCTCCCCTCCAATTGCAACTGTCAATCACCTACTAAATTTAATCAGACTCTACAGAGTGCATAAGTGCAGGTTATGATCATTAGCATTTTAGTATCTTCCGAAATCGTAAGCTATTATCGCTCTAAAATATTTATAAATGACATTAAGCAGAGACATTAAGCATCAGTTGTAAGAACACGAAATAAACTCGGGATAAATTTAACTCGCTGTTAGCGCTAAAATCGGTTGTACGAACTGAGGTATAACAGGGTGTTAAGTTAATCCGTAATCTCGCACGTACTGTACGAGTGGTAAACAACGTGTTAACTTTTTTCAACGCATATTGCCGGCCGAGTAACAGCAAACTATGTAGCACATCGTGGTAAAAATGTACGAAATTCAGGAGTATTTGTTTTCTGACGACAGTGAAGAAGAAATACTCCCAATGTATTTAAAAAGTTGAAAGTTGAGAGTGCGGAGGCCAGACTTGCTGAATGAATGAAAGAATGAATTAATACTAACGAACCCCCTCTGCAGTTGTGGTTCGCACTGCTAGGGTTTGGGCGAGGCGAATGTGCCAGCTGCGGCGGACACTGTCCACTCACTCATCTGCTTAGCCGATCTCCAGCAGCAGCCGAAGATCTTTTGATGCGCTCACTTCCAGCAGAGCTAACAGGGGCGAGACTCATCTGTTTTAAATAGCCAGAATCACGTTTGGGATCAGATGTACTCTATGTTTATTAAGCAATAAAACACTTTTTTTTTTAAAAAAAACGTGGTTATATATGCTACCACGATTCATTGATAACTGTATAATAAATCACTGTGTCATAATATTCTGATATGAACGATACACAACAACATGATACAAAAAACAGGTGTTTGAACAAATAAACTGGTTATGCTTTAAGGGATTCTCCTTCTTCTCTCTTGATATGATTGCACAGTTCTCTTCAGCAGTATTTAGTTTCTTTCAAATTTGCAGTTCAACGAATTGTCTTTTCTTCCTCAGTTGTTCGTTACCATAAAGTACTATCACTTGCATGGAAGTGGGGAGGGGGTGGCGCCGGTCCGAAGGGCGCCGAGCGAAGGGCGGCTGTCGTGGGGCGCAGGGTGGGGCAAAGGCAGGCGGGGGCGCGGTGTCTGGTGGCAGGGCCCTGGCGGAAGGCGGGGGTGACGGTCATTGAACACTCCACTTGCGCCTTTCCATGAGATTTATCTTGCGTGGGGTGCGTATTTGTAGAAGGGCCGTACGTAATAAAGTTATACTTTGAAGCTGCAGACGAGGCAAAACTGACGTCGCGTTGCAGTCTTGGAAGTCAAGTTTACAAGTCTAGAGATGAAACTAAAGTCGAAATCACGGAGTTTCGTCTCGAAGTGTCACATTCCAGAGATGAGATTGTAGTAGTGGGACTGGAGCCAAGAGCCTTTGTTATAATGCATGCCGCAATAGCTAAAACTCTTGTGAAGGTTGTTCAGAACCCTCCTAATGAGGAGTCCGCTGTCGCAGGTACGAGCGCTACATCGGGCGGCGGTACAAGCGGCGGCGGCGGCGCGGCGCGCGGCGGCGCGAGGGCGAGCGAGACCACGAGAGCGACTCGGGCAGCTTCACGGCCAGCTTCAGCCAGAGGTCAGGCCGGCCTTCGGACCTCTCAGTGGCCTCAATGGCAATTGCGGAAAAAAATTCAATAGTTCTCAAAAGCAGTCAGACAAAAAACTCACAAAATAACAAAATTATTGAAAAAAATAACTTTCATTTTCCGCAAAAAAATTTATAAACTATATTTCTTCGTTCAAAGTTTGGGTCAGCGTATTGAAACTTCCTTTAGAACTCTTTGTTCGCTATTGTTCGCTACCTAGAACTCTGGTCAGAGCTGATAAAATATATTCTTAAAATTTTTTAGCTCAAATCTTGAATTTCAGGGAAACGAACATTGAATATTGAATAATTCCCGTGTTTGACATCGGTCGAAAAAAGCGTATTAGAATTTCTTTTAAAACTCGTAGTTCTCTACCCAGAACTCTGATTACATCCGAAGAAATATATATTTTTTAATTCTTTCGGAAAGTGATAGTTATTTTTAAAAAATAGTGTTGTTTTTTTGTCTGAATGAACTAAGAACGTTTTTGACGCAATTGACTCTTGGAAAATTTTGAATTTTCTCACTTTAGCTCGCAACCATTTTTGTTTTTTAAATTTAATTTTTTGTTATAATTTTCGACGTTATGCAGAGTTTTTTCCGACGCTTTTGGGGAACTCTACACCCTATGTTGGCCAATTCCTTTCAGCCAGGACAGCAGCCAGCAGTCGTCGCGCATCAGCCTGTCGCGGTCGGGCCGCTCGGACGACACGGTGGGGCGGTCGGAGGGCAGCATCCACTCGTTCCTGCAGCAGATCACCTACGAGGACATGCTGCTGTCCAAGATCCGGCAGTCGTGGGGGGACCCGGACGACGTGCCCTCGACGGGCGTCGTGGAGCGCAGCAAGGCGTCGGCGCGCTACCTGCCCACGGGCTTCCCCTGGACCTTCATGGGCGTCTTTCAGGTGACCGCACTTCCAAAGTCACGCTGTTTCCGTGGCGTAGTGGTCAGGCGCACGGCATGTCAACTGGGACGACTTGTGTTCGATTCTGGGTGCGGAAAAAATGTTGCTAGTTTAAAACACTTAGTACAGGCCTGCACAGCATTTTGCACTTTGTGTGACCTCGAGACCCGCGCGCGAGCCACTCAAGTGCAATTGCGGAGAAATTGAATGGTGGGGATGAAGCAATTTCTAAGAGTCGGGGCCACCAATTATAATACGCAATTCGAACCATAGCGTGTACATTGAAAGAGCAATCGACGAAAGAGTGACTGTCACATACAGTTCAAGTAATATTGCCTAGTGCATTATATTGAAAATGAATGTTGTCGATGTATGAAATTGTGAAATATGAAACTACAACGAATGATACATATTTGATTCGGACACCAAATATTATAACTGATATTAGGGCTGATATTCGCTTTGCTACGATGTAATCACAAATATAGTGTTTTTCTAAACACAAAATTACTGAAGATTGAATGATACTGAATTGTTATTGTTTGATGATGACAGCAACAAATTATTTTTTCATTAATTATGTTTAATTCAATAAGATGGTTCTCACAAAGCAAAAAAAGCTCCATCAAACAAATCATGATAATTTTCTGTTCTAATTTTTGACAAGAATTCATTACATATTTGTAATATATAATGAACCAAAACAACGAATGCTATTTATTCATCATTAAATAGTATAAAAATGAAGGGCTATTTGCATTCTACTTAACAAGACTAATGCTAATCTTATGGTTGTCCGTAGCATATCATCACAGAGGTTTGCTCGTTGATATCTTCAGATTCATAACGAGCGAAATGGTCTCAAATATATGCGCTAATAAACATTAGCCTTCTTGCAATTGCCTGTATTCCATTTTATGTCAATCTTGATGTGAGAGATTGCTCTCCAAATTTTCTTCATTATACTATCATTTTGAGATTATAACATTTCTGGTGAACAATCAACTATTAAATTGTAAATTTGTCAATTGCCAGTTAATATTGAACAATAAAGTTTTAAAAATGGCCACTGTTGAAAAGATTACTTAAGAGTCATAATGAGCATCATCTAAAAAAATATATACAGTGGTGGAAATGCAGCAGTGTACAGAAGAACGTTAACAGTGAATTGTGGTCCTTGTAGCTTGAAATATGTGACATTACCCATTTAAAAAAGTGGGAAAATGATTTCATAGCATTACATGCCCCGGTATTCAGTCTACGCGCCACGCCGTGCAACGTCAGTCTTCTGTCACCCCGAAGTGTTCTATCCTTCACTGCTTGCACTTTTGGCTCTCTCGCGGGCAGACTGTGCGTAAGTGCAGAATGCCCGCGGAACAGGCGTTGTGCAGGCCTGCAGTAGAGTATTTAGCGGAGCATTTAGAAATAATGACATGAAAGTATGTGCTCTTGGAGCCTCACTAGTTTTTATATCTTTTCTGTAGGTGAGAAAGTTGGCTCTTCACATTCAGGCATTACAGGAGCAACATACACTGAAGAGTAAAAAAACTAGTACAGTGATGCGTATTGAAATAAAGAGATCTGGAACCAATCAGAATACGGAATTCCAGTCGGCAACGACTATATAGGACAACCAGAGACTGACACGGTTGCTAGAGTGGTTACAGCGGCTACAATGGCCAAGTCAATGGTCGTAAAGTCAAACTTTAAACCACATTTATTTTTGAATATCTTTAGTAAATTCAAAGATTTATATAGCTTTAAAAGCAATATCTATACACTTACGGCTAAAGAAAAATATTGAAAATGTATTTTCTCAAACAATTGGTGTGAACACTTACAGCGTTTTCGCATTGAGCAGCGAAGTAAATGCCTCTTCCCGCAGTTGAGTTTGTGGCTTGTGGTTGTTGCAGGGTAAAGGGCGCGTGCCGTCGGCGGCCGGGCTCTCCCTCACGCGCTCCTTCTCCTCGTGCAACTTCACCGAGTGCGAGTGCACGCTCATCCTCACCTCGGTCTACACTCAGGTGAGCTCAGCGCGGGACCACGAAACAGATATCAATTAATCGATCTCTCCTTATTTTACGCGGTGGGGCTCAAGACATCAGCTGTGCTCTTCCGCCTGACTAAGCAACTTTTGCTACGCTCCTTTCGCCATCTAGAAGCGATAGAAGGTATCTGGAGCTACGAAACAGGTGATTATATTTTAACTCAGCGGCTTCTTTTAGGTTTGAAGATCTATTAAATGCAGTAAATCTACAACATGGGACAACCCTCTTTACTTCCCCTCCGTAGTAAGGCGTACAAAATAATTTTTCGCCCTCAAAGAAATCTGGTTGAGCTTCGGTTTGAGGTTTGACTTCGCGAACTTGGGTGTAAGAGTCCGATGCACCATCGTTTAACCACTAAAGCAGTTTGTGAAATATGATTAGGAGGTGATGAACTGCTATGTTATGACCTCCTATTTAAAGGAACAAATACGGGCTGGAGAGTAGTAATGATGACAAGTTGGTGAGAGAACGAGTTGTTTTGGACACCAAATGTTGTTGAAGAGCTTTTAGTCTTGTAAGCAGGTCGACAAGCTGGTTTGTCTGTGGGAATAAATTCACAAATAATTTATTAAACATGTGCTGCAGCAGCCTAAGATGTTGAGGAGGTTGGCATAAGGAAAAGAAAGGTTTCCAGTTTCCATTTATTTGAGAGGAATCGGCGGATCGGTGTTCATTGACGTCGCGCCGTCGGGTAATTTATTTTTCAGCAGCCATTAGGAGACTAGAGTCAAAAGTTAAGACGCGTCGCTGCGCTCTCCAAGACCACAAATCCGTCCTGGGAGATCGGCGCCTTTCGGTAATGTTGGTTCGAAAAAGGGCATTAGTAGACTAGAAATTTTGAATAGTGCTTATTTATGTGTGTTTTGCGTGAATTCTGTACGAATCGCCACACGACGTTGCTAGAAGGTCTACCAGCAAACAACTGAACTGCGCAGATCGAGTACTTTCAGTTACTGTATTTCTGTGTGTGCGTTCTTGCTGGGATCTTAATGAAGTATTAATAAACCATGAGGGACATAGAGATGAAAAACAGGAAAGCGACAAAAGGGAAAGAGGTCACATCGTCACAATATGACACAATGATACGATGATGACCGATCACCGTCGCATCGAGTTCAAACAAATCCGTTAGTAAACGATTTTGCCGCTAGAGGCGTTTGAGTCAAACTGTTCGCTTTCTGCAACCAACATGCTCAAAAGTTGTGCAGTGTGGTCTGCGCGTTTTCTGTACGAAATCTGTACTGTGTACATTTACGTGGATTTGCCGTATTTTATGACCTAGCTTCAGTATGGCATTCGTTGCGTGCGATGTGATCCGCGTGCTGCAGATCCTGGGCCACTGCCGGGGCGCGGAGCTGGACGAGAAGACCATGGACGCGCTGCTGGAGTACGCCGAGGTGTGCGTGTACATCAGCAACCACGCGCAGGCGCAGCGCCTGCTCTTCCAGGCGCGCAAGCTGCTGGCCGAGGCCAAGACGGAGCCGCAGTTCGGCATCAAGAAGGTGGAGGACACGCGCGAGGTACGTAAATCATTTCTAGATTTCAACGGAATTAAACGTTTTGGCGTCCCCTGATACCGAAATAGTACTTCTTTTAAAAACGTCCGTCTGTTCGTCCGTTTGTCCGTCCGTCTGGTGTCTGTGAACACTACTAGCGCTAAACCATACATAGGATATTTTTTCCATCTTGGAGAAACCCTGTCCATCTGCCTCGAGTCGAAACTGTGAAATTTTGAAAAACATTCATCAAAATTTGGAGGTACTATACATGAAGCCCTCCAGACATTTTTAAAACTTTCTCAAAAAGAGCTCCAATTTTTTTAAAATTTCATGTAAGAATGGAGTGACACAAACTTATAAAAGTGGCATAGCTCTGATTTTCACAGTTAACTCTGAATTTTCAAAAGTTGTAAAAGTATACTTTTTTTCGGTATCTTCCTACAACTTCAAAATTAAGTATAGAGTTTTTTCCTGGAAATAAAATGTGTTCTCCAAGGAGAATAAGTGAATTCTTTCATTAAGGTCATGAACATTTTTTTAGTAGTTTCCGCGCAATATTGCAAGCAATTTTCTATGAAAAAGAGCTTCAATCTTCGAGTTTACAATTAGCGCTTAAACGCCAGCTTTTAAAAATGGCTCCAAGTTTTTCAAAAAAATTTGCCATTTTGTACGATATTTTAGTGTTCTTTAATAATCTTAAAATATTATTTCTGCTCTAAAATTAGGAAATTTCACGAAACTTTATTTTCGACGGCGATAGATGATAGCTGGCAAGAGTAGGTGGCAAGTTCGAGTAGCTAGCCGAGAGCAAAAGAAATAGAAAATCTGTGCCCTTCCGTAGCACCACCAGTTGATGTTCAGTTGCTCTTCGTCTTACGCCAGGGGTCGTACATCCCCTCCTGGAAGTGGCCCTACTTGATGGGCCGCATCCACACGCTGCTCGGCCACTCGCGCCTCAAAATGGGCCAGTACGAAGAGGCTCACTTCCAGCTGCACCTCGCCATGGCGCACGTGAGTTCCTTCTTCACGCCCTACTCGGCCAAATCAACCGGTTTATAGTTTAGTCTCTAAATGTTAATTGTCTTAAAATTAATAGAATGAATGCTTATCGCCTGCCGTTTATTCATGTCGGCATTTCCAAGACCAATTACATGTACTTGATCTTGGCGTTAGCGTTGTTTCCCAAGGTTGGAACAGGTTATTTCGCAAAGAGTTTACCAGGAACAGCGCGCAGGCTGAGAGGTTAAGGTTTAGGCTCCCTAGTGTAACACCAAGGGAATCCTAGGTTGATTGATTAGTGATTTAAGGAGCGTCAACTGCTAAAGTCTATAGTCCCGTAAGTGTAGTGGATTTTTAGAGCGAGAAATGGCCGTGACCTTCACCCGCTGGACAGCGAGATCCTGCGCCGACCCACGTGCATGTAAGGGGTGAGAATGACACAAAGGAAGAGGAAGGAAAGATCGCGCGCGGTCAGTTTGTTAGGGTACTGCGCCGGCATTCGCTTAGTGTTGATCGATGAAATCACGGAAAACTACCGATCGGAGTCGATGGCTGGTAGAATTCCGCCCCAGACAGCGGCTGAATTCATCGTAGCTATGTAGGTAGTGTCGACAATCCTGCCACTGTCGGGACTCGAACCCTCGACTGTTCCTAAGAGTGTTTCACCCCTGGGGCGAAAGAAGGTAGGGAAATGAATAAATGAGGAAATGTAGCGTCAACTGATAACTAGGAGATTAAAGCAGCTGTGAAAATATCCGATGATGATGATGATGATGATGATGATGATGGTGACTGAGTGCTCAGAATATAATCTTTAAAAAGAAAATAATTCCATTCTCCAAAACGCACAAGTTCAATGGATATATTTTATTGCGAATTTTGATGTATTTATATTGTGTGTTGTATTCGGGGATTGTTATGATATAATTTTTGTTGAATATTTACAATGTGCCCAGTTAGGCCCTTGGCAGCAGATAAATAATATTGTTTTATATATCTACGTAGATTTGTGTAGATTAAACGATAACACTGGTATACATTTTTTTCTGTAACAAGAACAAAACACACTGTTTGTGCAAGATAATTTGTCTCGCAATTCAGATCTAATTTCAGGATGCGTATGACTCCTTATATATTATATGTTTCTGTTAAAATGACACGCTCTAATAACAACAGACCCAAATGTATACAGTACGAAATACAACAACATACGTGTTAAGGAAAGCAAAGAGGAGGCTTTGAATGTTGGGTCAGCATGGAATCTCCTCATCTTTCTTCTGAATGATGGTCACTGTAGCATTCCTCTTCACTGTGACGTTCTCAGAAGTAGTGGTATCGTCAATTCTTCACTGTGACATATAGGCCTTATAGCAGATATAATTAAAATATTACACAGTTTTCTTCGTTTCTGAGGTAATTCCATCTATTTGTGTCAGGCAAAGATCTGTTGAGTGATCCGCGTGGAACAAGAAAACTGAGACTGATGGGCAAAAACTGATTTCATATTTAAATTAAGGGTCCAAGTATTCGCTTCGAACATCAATCAGATTCTCTGTTACAAAAGTTGACCAGTGAAATTAGAGTCATTGATGAATTAAGGTCTTGGATTACAAATGCAAAGATTTGAGTAAACACGTTTTCTAAAACATATTTTCTCAGTGTTATGATTTCTTTTTACTTTACACATGGTCTGTGCCCAGAATTTAAAATATTTCATTAGCATTTTCAAGTTTAAAATTAAATCAAATTGCAAAAATATGATTATGGACCATGCCTGAACAGATTTTCTTCTTTGATTATATATGAGTTTAATTGTTTACCGATTTTCTTGCATCAGGAACAGCTGGGGTTCCCAGGTTTAAGTGTTAACGGGAGCCCAAATACCGTAAGTGTTCCCGGTTAAGTACTGAATTGAATTGAAGCCTTCTTTTACTTGGTTAGACTCGGGAAATCAGGCCCGCTCTTCCGTCTGACCACGCAAATTTTTACGCTCCTTTCACCCACTAGCTGAGAAAGCAAGTATTTCTTGGGCGACGAAATAGGCGATTTTAATTTAGCTCAGAGGCGTCATTTAGTGTTGAGAATCTTTTACATGCAAGTAAATCTACTAACATGGGACAGCCGCCTTTACTTCCCCTCCGAATGTAGGCGTACAAAGGATTTTTTCGCTCTTAAAAATCCACGGCTTCGATCGGGTTTGAACTCGGAATAACAGTCCTATACGCTAACAGTTACACCATAGAGCAATTGACATAATGCAGATAACTCATCTTTAAAGCTTGTTTACCCCAATCTTTCTAACGTGAATACCACTTTGGTCCACCGACACCTTGGATGGCGACGGAGAAGTAAAAGAGGGAGGTGTGGCAGATGGGCGTGCCGTTCCCGGAGAACCGGCTGGTGCTGCGGCTGGTGACGGCGGGCAGCAAGACGCGGCTGGCGCTCACCACGTCGTTCATGGCGCGTGCGTGGCTGGGGCGGCGCTCGGGCTTCGCCGCCACCTACTCGGACGCCATCGCCGAGTGCCTCTCCTACATGTACGTGGTGTTCCGCGACATGGGCGACTGGGCGTCGGCGCGCCTCGCCGCCACGTGGGGCGTCAACCGCTCGCTCGAGTCGGGCTTCGACTTCCTCGGCGTCTGCATCTCCTTCGCCAACATGCTCGAGGTGCTGCAGTACTACGGCGAGTTCGTCACCTGCGCAAAGTGAGTCCGACCAGCCGTGATGCGCTCAAAACAGCACCACGCACGTAATTTGTGGTCGAAAAAGTAAACAGCTGTTGCTGCGAAGGGATACTACTCAGAATTTTATGTGATGTTCATTTGTTTAGCGAACTGTCGCTTAGGCTCATTCTTATGCGTATTGTTCTGTATCATACCACGAGTGTAGGGCTTGTCTCGGCTTAAGCGGTCCCCGCTGGGAGAGATACCCGGGAGGGAAATTCCCCCACAAGACTGGGAGAGAAATACTACCCAACGTGATGTGAATATAACAAACTAATCACGTTGTACCAGTCGATAATAAAATGTGATTTGTTGTTCAAACTCTATAATAATTACGTATCTTCCATTTGCGACGATCGATTTATACATAGTGACAATATTTCATTTGTGACTTATCGGTGGATGATTCTGAATACTTACGTACCCATTGACGTTGAGACGTACGTGGAGACTTAACGACACTATTACGAGTAATTCACAATAACTACTAAGAGATTTCCACTAGAACGCATTTGTAAACGCTAAAGGCATGGTGTTTAATAACTTTAGTGCGGTAATGTAGCCTCACCTTTGGCAGGACATACTCTCTCATGCATAGTCCTGAGATCACGGAACGCAAGATCTGTGGTTCTCTGTAGTCCTAATATCCAGGAGCTGTGGCTCTTTGTAGCTTTGAGCCTGGGCGTTGAGGAGGGCGGGCTGGGTGCGCAGGCTGGAGGTGGGCGCGATGGAGGTGTGCCGCAACCGCGCCTCCTACCTGGAGATCCAGGAGCTGGTGGCGGTGGGGCGGCTGTACCGCATCGTGTTCCACTCGCTGATGACGCGCGGCCGCATCGAGAGCGCCATCTCGGTGGGCTACAAGACGCTTCGCATCGCAGCCGCCGTGCACGCCACTGAGCACCGCCTCGACGTGCTGCCGGGCCTCATCAGCTGCCTCATCGCGCGCAACCGCGTCACCGAGGCCGTCACGCTGCTCAACGAGCTCGAGTTCATCTCCGAGGAGGACGTGGACAAGTCGGGCATCACCTGGTGGGTCCATAACTGCCTTTGCGTGGATGAGCTATTGCGCAGCGCATCCGACTTCAGCCAATGCGCTTCAGGCACCAGGCAGGGATTCTTATTGTAGCCAGATATCACAACAATCATTTTGCAAGTCTTTGAAACATTCATGTTGCATTTTTGAAAATTGTTAGTCTTATACTTTAATTACACGTTCGTGTTATTTTTCGTTGATTATTGTAACTTTACAACACTGTCGAAAGGTTTCTCAACTCTTTTATCTCTGTCTCTCCCTCTCTCTCGATGCTACATTGCGGCCAGCGTCTGATCTGGCTTTTCAAACGAAGTACCAGTGTGTTGGTCACGTGGTTCGTGACGTAAATTGGTGCTGAGTGCAACGATCAGAAATCAGTGCGCTGGAGTAGTTCACTAATGTCACTCTACCTTGGCTGTCCGTTAGCTGGGAGAACTTTAGGACAGTTGCTAACTTTTCGGCCGTCATTCTGCTACTTTAGGACGAAATGCGTAAATCTTCTTGCTTTGCAGCGCATCCTATCTTTTCGGAAATGTTTGGCTGCTCTGTAATATAGAAAATGAACATTGTTAGGAAAGACAATATCAGCTCGGTGTGCTTTTGGCGTTGTTTACCCCAATTTTCATGCAAGTATAGGCTTTACGCCTACTGCAGCGTATCTCTCGCGCGCTTGTACGTCACCTTGGGATCCGACTCGTATAAAGTTCAATTTCTAATAATGTCATTATTTGACGCGTCTTTTTAAGAAGTTAGCAGCCAAGTTTTTAAAGTGCTCTTCGAGGTGCTGTATATTTAATGTTAAGTGCAATTCTGAAATTGTAATTTAACATGGCGCGCCCAGTATGCAACGAAGGCTCGCATTTTTAACTATGAATGCGCGAAGGTTGACAGCGAAGGGGTTTACTAAGAATGAGGTTCGGTTAACAAATGTTGGTCGGCCAATCGGCCAATAATGTGAAAGCATAGGCCAATGTAGCAACGGTACCCGTAGGCGGGTGTTGGACGTCAAGGGACAGCGGAAAGAGTTCTCTGACGCGCCCGGGCGTTGCGATAAAACATATTCCAGGCTCCGTACAGACGTAGACCTTGATCAGCATTCTGTTTTTCATGATTCTTTGTGGTTTCCATTAGCAAGGAAGTGAGTGTTCTCAAAACTCGCTTCTAGGTAAGACCAGGGAATTCTAAAAGCAGTCGCGTATCCTAAGTTTCACATCCTTAATGCAATGCACAGGTAGAGAGAGGCTTACCTCGTTTATTCAAAATTATAGATTACTAATAAATAATAATTAATAATAAAGAAACCATGTAGTTTTTTTTAACAAATTGTAAGTTATTTTTATATATTTTTCGTTTCTTGCTGTGTTTGGGCATCGCGGCTAGCCCGGAATATACACCTCTGATTAAAAGCATAGAAGTGAACCTTCAGTTCAACAAGTGGTTGGAAAAGGTCGCTGGCAGCGGTCCGTGCCACGGTTAAGAGTTAAGCCTCGCGCCCAGTGCTCCGCTCTCATTCCACAGTATTATTCTAAGAAAATTAATTGTTAACCATTTTCGTGGAATAACTTTTTTATTATACGGAAACATTCTGATGTGTGACGCGTTAAGAAAATATCTTGTGGAGTGTTCATTTTCCTAATGACCTAGATATGAACAATAGACGGGCTACGATCAATTCCAGGCGAATTCAGGAGTAGTACCCAAACGAACGGGCCTTATACCTTAGGGCAACTATTATTCAAGTTTCTTGTCCTATCCTCCCACCTCACACAAACTTGTACACACATTTACATGCCCATCATTACCACACGTCGGGAGCGTAGAGATTGTTCCGGGTGAAGGAGATTTCTAACGAGAAATTCCCTGCTAGTCGACATTTACGGTTGGTAGGTTAGGTCTGCGCCGAAACTCACCATCCAGTGGGACATCCTTCTCCCGTTATAAACCATTGTAGTGGCCGTAGCAGTTGAGATGCCCGTGATGAACGAGTGGGGTGGGCGCAGGTACTACGCGCTGACGATGGAGATCCACCTGGACACGGGGTACTCGGTGCTGCCGTACATGCGCTGCGAGGAGTTCTTCAAGCGCGAGGGCGAGGCCCTGTACACGGGCCGCCACCCGCAGTCGGCGCACCGCCTCTACGCCACGCTCTGGCTGTGGTGCATCCGCCTTGAGGACTGGGAGGGCGCCAAGCTGTGGGAGCACCTCGCCCGCCCCGAGTTCACCGTGCCCGACATGCTCACCGTGCGCCAGTACTCCATCACGTGCGCCATGATCATGCAGGGGCTGTGCATCACCTTGTCCCACCTGGTGCGCGCCCCACTGCCACACACAAAACTCACTGGGGGTCAGATTAAACGGGGAAAGGTTGCTCAAGGTTATGTTCGCACACTTGAAACAAACACAAAATGATGTTCGCGTGGCTTATGGTCAGGGATGGATCCAATGTAGATTGAAAGACACAAATACCAATGACTTGTGGGTACTTCGACGGGTGATGAATACTGGATTCACATCATCTTAAATTAGTGTCGTCAACACATGAAGAGGGAAATGGAAGTCGATGTGAAAGTATTTCTGCTGACATAGAAACTAACTCTTGCAAGAACGAATTAAGAGTTTGCTTCATAAAATAATTAGGAAAATTTCTAGGAAAGGTCCAAGCACGAGCTATTAAGGAAAGGGTAGTTAACGGCTGCTGAAAAAGATTAGTAGAAAGCAGATCGGAGCCTAGATCGGTTAGCAAATTAATTCATTAATACTCGAACATGCCATGGGGTAAATTGGTATGTATGTGAGAGAATTTAGCTTAGAGGCTGCGAACGATTTTCTGCGATGTTTCACTTGAGGCGCTGAAGATACCGCAGTGTGAAAGGAGAAAACACATGACTTACACGCCTAGCAATAATTTGTTTAGAAAGAGTTTGGTGTAATAGTGTGTACTCCTCTTCTAATAACAGGTTTTCCCGCTTTAGGATTTGTTTTGACCTCTTAAATAAAAAATAATTTAATAATAATAATAATAATAATAATAATAATAATAATTATATTAAAAACTGAGTTGTACGTAGGAGGTCTATAAGTACGAAATTTGTCAACAAATTCAGAATGGGAAACGAATGAACCATATTCTTATTCATGATAGTTTGGAGAAATACGTGACGAATGATTCTGTTAGATTTCAAGACACTAGCTTAGAGATTTTCGACACTAGCTTTATAGCTAGGTCAAATTTAGTTGCTGTCTGAAGAATTCTAGTGGCCAACTGCTCTGATTACTTTTCCATGATTTCTCCGATCAGTACTAGGCAAATGCCCTAACAAACGAGCCACGAACCGCGCACGATCTTTAATAATAAGAATTGTTATTATTATTATTATTATTATTATTATTATTATTATTATTATTATTATTATTATTATTATTACTGAGTCACATATTCAATTTCAATCGTGTATGACGAGTCAGATATGATGTATGTGGGTGCACATGTCTTCTAAAGCTCCAGATTACCTACTCTTTCTTACTTCACACTATTATGAATAAAGGTAGAAAGCAGCATTGTAATGTAAGAAATGTTCACCTCTTTAGTGAAAGAACTGCGAGCGACATATACATTTAATTTTGAATTTATTGCTAACAAATAACACAGATCAACAATGAAAAATCAGCAGAAATAAAACTATGTGTAATTGACTAAGTATCACGCCTTGATTCCAAATATGTTCATACAATTTCTCTATCACGTATAATTTTTGTTATAAGATGTTTTAGATATTGCGAATGTGCGACTTAAAGACTTACCTAGTCAACAATGAAAAGTCATCAAACAAGAAAATATGCGAGATTTACTAAGTCATGCCATGATTCCAATTATATGCTTAAATTTTCTCTTTCACGAATATTTCCTGAGATAGGATGGTTTTCACGGTACGTTGTATAGAACTGATTCTGACCTTCCTAATTAATTTTTCAGATGGACATCGACGACACAAAGGGGGTGACAGAGACGACACAAAAAATTGAAAAGTTCTGCAAATTTTTCAGCAAGGCATGTAGTTACATACGCTTTGCTGAGTCATATTATAGATCTATTAAGGTAAGTTTGAGTATCTCTTTCTTTCTTCCTTATTTATTAACGACAAAAAACAGATAAAAGTTGTAAGTGATGTATGGAGAAGTACGCTCTGTAAACGTTTTCTTGAGCCACTGAACTACTTACTTTTACCATACTAAAAATAATTCTGAATAGTGGTAGCGACTACCGTTTTTAGCAAAATTTGAAATACATCTATATTAACCTCCGTGTAATAGAGACTATTTGCATAATGGAAAAGGATTTATGTTATGACACTGTTGACAAAATAACTCATTTCCCCACTAACATCCCATAGAGTTCACGAACATGTGCGCTGATAGTAAAGCTATATTTACGTCTAGAAACAAAGCAGGAAGCCTTTTTGGTTTTTGCTTAACGGATGAAGAGAATCTGGACGAAAAGCCTGACCGAGACTCAAAAGCTGAACCCCAGTTCGAGTTCTAGATATCTTTAGCCTTTGACTTTAAACAATAAAATGATAACTAATGTATTAATATCATTGTTAAAATAAAAATAATTTTCGTTTCTGGTTCTCCGTATAGTCTCTAATTGTACAGAAACAGTTATGGAGCAGAAAATATATTACTAGGTATTTCAACATGGATATCGATTTTAATTGTCTAATACATCTGACAATGTGCTGTAAAATATCGATGCGTATTTGCATTGCATGTGGTGCGCGCTGTTTTTAACTTCCTGACATACCGCGGTAGCGGCCGGTACGGAATTTTATTGATGCTGCTAGTTACTGATGCGACATGAATAACAAAACATTGATGTTACCAACTGTCGGTGTTTAAAATTAAAACATCGTTTAAAAACTATCCACATTTTGAAGCTGGTTTAGTAATCTCTAATATTAAATTCGTAGGCAACAAAATTTAATTTTACAGTGACCGTTTTCATTACTTTATAACGAAGATTAAACTGAAAACTACAAATAATTAGAAATAAAAATACTCGGCGTGAGCGCCCACAAGAGACGTCAAAGAGGGGTCCGGGCAGAAGAGGCGTCTTATGTCCATGGCGCCCTTTCTCTCGTTATTACTGCACTCTATGAGATTGAATATAAACTACTGCGCCAGTTCGATTTGGGCGCCATCTCACCCATAAGAGATGCTTCAAACCAACACAGCGTTCTCTGTACAGAGGTAAATGGGCAGAGACAGAGCCAGTCCGTAGGTGGATAAGAAAATTCAATATCCAGATATTGGTGGAAATGCGTTTTGGAGAATTCCTCTTGCTAAAAAGAGATTATTTTGTCAAAACGTTTGCCCGCCAGTCCGTCTATTCGAAAACAACACTAACCGTACATAGGATTTGTCTCAGATTGAATATTCCCTGACGGATCTGACCATACTGAAAGTTCTGCGGATTTTAAACGAATCTTTTTCATATTGGTGGGTTCGAAAAAGATTCATCCCTAGACCCTGAAAATCGCAAAAATATCTCTAGGTTTTTCTTTGATTCTTTGCTTCAATAAAAAACAATGTTCATATAAATATGGCACAGGTACAATTTTTATTAAAACCTCTTGAGCATTCGAATATTACAAAATTTTAACTTTTTTTGAATCTGCCCTTCATCTTTATTATGAAAACCTGAACTTTCGATTTTGATTCTATTTTTTTTCTTTCAACTTTTCTATCATTCAAGTGTTTCTCCTTTTTTACGGTTACAGAACATCGTTACGAAGTTCGATGAATGACATTGCAAATTCCACGTTTAAAATGAATGTGTGGTTGTTATTTGCCGTAGGCGTACTTCACGTACCTGAAGAGCAACAACAAGAAGCGGCAGCAGAAGAAGGCGCTGCGCGAGCTGCGCTCGGCCAGCGAGATCGCCACGCGCCAGGGCAACGCGCGCATGGCCGAGTGGTGCAAGCACAACGAGAAGATGTGGCGCGGCCTGCTGGCGCCCATCAAGGCGGACACGTGGCGCGAGTGCGCCGAGCCGGACAACCTCGTGGACTGGCACGAGGCCGACAAGACGCCCCCGCGGATCATGCACTACACCCTGCCGCTGCCCGACTGCCTCGACTAGCGCCTTGCGCATTTCAGTGTTGTGGATGATCTTTCTTTGATAACATCAAGGCAATTTTCTTTAGTTGTGCTGCCTACATTCTGTTGTCATACATTCAAATCTTACTATTTCATAGTTTTATTTCTATTTTAATCAATTTGTGCTTTCTCGTTTTGTAAATGGAATTCACGCGAACCAGAAGCTCTAAACGCGATTTTGTTGCAAGCATTGCAAGCCTATATGCTTCATTCGTTTTTCCCGCCTTTTGAGACAAATTTGTATTACTGTAACCAGAGTTCGCGCGTGTCAAACTGCTCTGCTTATGACTATTATGATGGGTATATTATTGAATGTCCACTTGTTACCGCGTGTGTGTGTTTGAGAGATCGCTAGCCGGCCGGGCTGTGTTGGGTGATGTGGGTGCGGTAGTGTTATGTGAAGATAACCCGAACGTAAACACAATGAGTGCTTAAAGCGGAGGGATGGCCTTAACAGACTCTGGAATTGATGTTAAACAAGTGGCGATGAACGTTTCACAATTACAGAAGTTAATTTGCAATTGCAGCTTATGTCATTTATTATGGGCTCATGGAAAATACTTCAAAGACGGACATATGACATATTATCCCATAAATATTCATTCGTTTTTGTGTTACTGGCTTTCCTGATTTTGACTGTATCTGTAATACAGTTTGGTGAGGTGTGTCAATAAAATTGTTGAAAAAATGAAACTTGATGTAAAAATTATATTTCACATATGTTACATATGGTGCATTGTATTTTTTTGTAGGTATGGATTGAATGGAATCAGACAGAAACTGTATATAGTTCATTTAGTGACAATGTTGTAGGCAAGTCCCTTCAGAAGAAATTATGTCAAACTGTTCCTATAGATGTTGTGTATACATGGGTAAATGGATCTGATCCACTTCTTCTGCAACAAATGCAAGAACATCGAAATTTCATGATGAAAAAATCAGTCAAATGTCAGTTTACGAATTGTATGCCTTCTCACTATGCAGCTTACAGGTAATAATGTCATAAAAATATTCTGCTTCATGTTGTTGTTTTTTATGTGAATATGCTTTCCATATGAATTTTTTAAATTTACTTTCTCTTAGAGGATGGATGAAGTATCTTGGCCATCGACATATTGTTAAAAAAATTCAAGTAAGTGATAGTAATAACAAGAAAGGACCTCAAAATTGGACATTAGTTGAATTTTCATCACCCCAAGCAGCTGAGAGTGCTGCACATTCATCAGTGGATTTAGGAAGTCATAATATGTCATTAAGTCAAGCATATTGGACATCGGGTATGCAATCAAAAACAGAAAAATGTTCTGCTTTGTCTTATTAGATATTACAAATGAAGAATAATATGTATTTCTGTTTTGTAGATCAGTCGGCACCCAACAGTTACTTATTACACAATGCTGTGATCTGCACAGGCTTAGCCTCAACTACATTGTCCAAGATTAAAAGAATGACAACGCAGGAATTATCTTTAAATATTCATGTTAATATTAGAAGAGTGTGGTTAAATTTTGAAGTAAATCTGATGAGTTTAGAACTTCCATCAGTTGCTACAACTAAAGAAATCCTTAAGGTTATATTCAATGCAAACATTTTAAAAGAACTATTTATAGAAATTTTTGATGGTCACTTTTGTAAAACTAGTATCTCTTTCTCTTGTAGATGGATAATGTAACTGTTTTGGGTCAAAAAGTGAATATTAGCAAAGCATATCTTATTCTTGAGCTTCCTCCACCGTGGGACTTGAAGGATTTGGCTCCATCCCGCTTCGAAGACAAGGAGGTATTCTCAAACTATGAATCAATGATATCCCTAATTTTTAAGGACATGAGGTAAAGGAATGAAAATGAATTGTAGGAACTGCGCTACTCTCTGAGGTCATTGGAAACGCATGCTCCATGGGTACGACACATTTATTTGGTAACTAATGGTCAGATCCCCTATTGGTTAAATTTAGATAATCCAAGGCTAACTCTTCTTACCCATGAAGAAATATTTCCCAACCATTCTCACTTACCTACATTCAGTAGCCCTGCTATTGAAAGCCACATTCATCGGTAAGTATAGGGAGGGGGAAATTAATTTTTATTTATTTTTATTATTTTTTTCTTATTTCACTTACTGTGCTTTTACATATCTTCTGATTTAATAATTCTTCTTAGGATACCAGGTTTATCCCAACAATTCCTGTACCTCAATGATGATGTGTTCTTTGGACAAGAAGTGTGGCCTGATGATTTCATCACTCATACTGGTGGACAGAAGGTATGGAAAACAGCAAAGATCAATTGTCGTTCAGCATTCAAGTTCCAAGTGCTAGTAATAAATAATTATCAATCAAAATTTAAAATTTATTTATAAGACACGGTTAATATCAACACAATTGGGTACATACTTAAGAAAAAATAGTATCTTACATTAAATACCATTGGTGAATATTATTCAAAGAATTGTTATCTTTATGCTCATTGAATGGAATTTCTTAATTTGTGCATGATTTCAATTGTGAATTTTATCTTTATATTTTCAAAATTATTTTTACTTTGATACCTTATAAATAATATGTTTAAATTATTAGTTTGCTCTTGTTTGATGATTTTATCTTTAGAAATGCATAACATTCTAAAAAGGAAGTGCAAAAATTAAAACCTCATAATAATAATAATAATAATAATAATAATAATAATAATAATAATAATAATAATAATAATATTACTTCTTTGGTAAGATCAAGTAAAATAATATTTGGAGAAATAAAATTTACAAGATTTAAAGATTTTGACAGTTCTGCTCCAAAACGTGTTGTGAGATTATTTTTATATGAATGTTTTTGCTTTTGAGCATTACAATATTATTTATCATTAAAGTTTCTGAAAAGATGTACATTCATAAAGAGAAAAAACAGTAAATAATATTTTTTTTGCATCATTAATAAGTTTAGTATTTTTGTATTAAATGATGAAGTGATTTGAAAAGAATATTTATGCCATGTTTTTAGTGGTAATGTGGATTATAATATTTGTAGAAAATGATTATTTGTTGAAATTACACTAGCATGTAAACTTCTAATTTTTTGTGCAAAACTTCTAGTATTAAATAATGGATTAATTATGAAATTAAGAAGCCAAAATATTTTAGGGTTATGAAGTGAGTTGTGGAGGAAAGTAGTTTAAATTATTACGTTTTTAGTAGCTTGAAAGAGGATGCAAGTAAACAAAAATGCATTAATTCATGAAAGATTAAGAAAGCATTGTGCTCAAAAACTATATTGTGAGTTTTGATTCTGAAAAAGTTGAATTTAAATACTTTTTTTGGTGCATGTATGTGTGAGTGTGTGTGTGTGTGTATGAGTTTTTAAGTGTTTGTTTGAATGCATTCTCAACAGGTTTATCTTTCATGGCCAGTACCGGATTGTACTGAGTCTTGTCCATGGTCTTGGATAGGTGATGGTTCCTGTGATATTTCCTGCAATATATCGGATTGTTCTTTTGATGGAGGGGACTGTAGCCCTTCTAATGAAATTGTACTTCCAAATGAAGATGTCTATGATGAACATCATTCTGATGTCATTGATTCTCCATTAAATGAGCATCATTTTGTTGATGACAGTCATCTCTTAGACTTTAGGGAATTGACTGGCTTTCATAATGGTGAGGAAGTGGACCCTCTTCTGACCAGCACCAAAACAGAGGCAATGAGGTATGGAAGAAACTTCAATTCTCAGTATTTTCACATTTCTAATTTTTATTTAATTGATAGCTGATTTTTTAGTATACTATGAACTTATTGCTTTTACACAGATTAGGTTGATGGAGTATTTTGTTATTTTCCAGGGTGCGGAGAAAGCTGAACTTCTCTTTAGGTATAAAATTTTCAAATGAATGTAGATATATATTATTCCTTTAAAAAAATTAAATTGTATATTTTTAATTTTTAGGTGACAAACAACCCAATGATCAGACAGAACCAACAATGACTGGTTATTATCATGAAATTACTGCTACTTCTACTTCTCTTCAAAAGGACATGTTTTCAGCGATTAATAATTCAATGCATCTTGTTTCCAAAAATGAGACTGAACATGTGGAGAACAGCGTTACTTCTCTTTTTCTCAAAAAATTATATCACACTTCAGATCTTCACAGCATGCACTTGATATCCAAAAATAATGATAGTTACAGGCAAATATTGATAGCCAAAAACTATTCAAGAAATCTTCACAACGCAGATCATACTAATGCATTGCATGGTAGAGATTCTAATTCTCTAAAACGAAAGTGGAGAAGTATCCATAACCCTTACAATTCCAAAGGTGTGGCGTCCTGGGCAAACAAGCGATCCAAAGATACATTTGCTGAATCATTGCTGTTTGTAAATCGATTGTACAATAATGAATTTGGATTCGAAGTTAGAAAAGTACCTGCACACATGCCACATCTCATAGACAAGAATGTAATGGAGATCCTTCAAGCCAGGTACATTTTACTGTTAAATAAATTTTTTGTTGTACTTGTGCATGAAACTGAAGTGAAATTTTAAGTAAGGGAATTTGCATAAGCGAGGGTGTATGTTTAATTTCGCAGATTTCCTCACGAATGGGAGCAAACCTCATCACATAAAGTTCGTAGTGCAATGGACATGCAATTTGCTTTCTCATATTTTTACTTTTTGATGAGTGAAAAACAAAATCATACTATCTCTGAAATATTTGACAAATTTGATACTGACCACTCAGGGTAATTATAATTACACTTTTGAAAATAATTTCCTAAAAAAATAATTATGAAATTAATATTTGTTTTCTTGTATTCTTGATCAGTACATGGTCTGATCGTGAAATCCGCACATTGTTGACTCAACTGAATGATTTGCCATTGAGTTATCAGAAAGTGGTGCAATTTGAAGATCAGATTTGTAATTGTTCTCTGCATTCACCTCAAGAAATTCCTATATCTACCCCTCCTTATGAAAGATACCAAGATTCAAAATTGGTAAATATATCTCTCTCTTTGAGTAGCAAATAAACTTTGCAAGTATCTTAATTTACTAACATGTGTTTTGTATATTCTTGTTAGCCAGTTGTCAGCAAAATGTTGATTAGCAATTGTGAGCCAATAAAACTGTCTTTGCTCGAAAAATTTGGGTCTCACAAGAAATATCAAACAGAGGTGGTGAAAGAGAAAAACCAAGCAGTTACGTTCAAAATGCTGAGTTCCAATCTCAGCCAACTTATTGTTATGCTTGATGAAGTTCGACGTGATCCAAAGTAAGTGATTGTGTGCAAATTATTGAAATAAATTTATATGAAAAGTTTGCAATGTATGTCCCTACAAATCTATGATCCCAAGTAGTATTGCAATTCAATTTTTTGAAGGGTTGGAGTCCTTGTATCCATCCCGTCAGGAATGTGTTTTTCTTTTGTTTGATAGACTGGAGAAAGTAGATTGGTAATTGAAAATGTTAGTTATTTGCAAATCAGTGCTATGCAGTTTCCGTGAACTGTGGCAGCCGACCAAACTTTAAAAAATCAAAATGTTGAGTATAACTCAAATTTCCAAAGTGATCCAAAACTGAGTTTAATAATATGTAGTGTTCATGATATTTTTAGTATAAAATCAATTTAAGGCTAAAATATTGTGAGATTAGTTAATATCATTGTTTGAATATTACTAAAATTAAGGTTGATTTAGTGTGTATCATAGAAGAATTTTGACTCCTAAGTTAGTCAATTCAAAATACTGCTTATAACTGTATTTTTCTCACACGAAAGTGTACTTTTTTTTTGTGCTTACATCATTTATATCAACAATTATACTCAATAATTAATAATAATAGTAATAGTAATAATAATTATAAAAAAAATATATTTAATTAGAAGAGTGAAACCTGTATAAAGTGGTCACTTGTGGTTCCCGAGAAAAATTTCCTTTAGCTGAGGTGATCTCTTACTGGAGGTAATGAGAATAAGGGAAGCAGATATTCGACCTATTTTTGCTATTACCAATTCAATTGAGAATGCAATGCATAGCCTGCACAACATTGGTTGTCTTTGTACTTCAGAGAGCAAAGCAACTGGATGTAAACTAGGAGACCAGGTTGATTAACGGGTAGGGTGACTATGTTTTGAACAATTCAAAGAACACATTGCTTGTTATCACATTTTTTTATTACATTTTTAAATACCAGCAATTTTATTTTCTCGCATACTTAGTATAGAAAAAGTATTGTAATGATGCGCAAAAAATGGGTTTTTTTGACAGAAAAGCTTGTATTATGGGGCCTTGAACCCCAAAAAAGAGGATATATCTAATTCCTATATTTAGTAATGTAACACATGAACTCAGAATCCACGTTTTATGAGTACTTGATTCTGAAAAATTGGCTGATGGTGAAACGTCTTCCGTCTGCAATGCTAGGACATAAACCATTCAGATTATTTTCTCCTTAATTAATATTCCCCTGTCAAGAGGCCCTGCGATTTGAAATTTTTTTTTTTATTGTTGCATCTATTTACAGTTCTAACATGTCTCCAAACTGCAATTTGAAATTTTATTTGTGAAGGAGCGTTGAGTGCAACGTGGAGAAATCCTCCATTATTATTAAACATGCAGCATCCTCTAGGGGCCGCTGGGTAGTCAAGTCACGGCAATCACAATCAAGTCAAGGAATTGCCGGAATGTATATTTCATGAATATTCATTCCCGCCCGAGATATCGCATTATAGTTTGGAGAAATACATCTTATAGCTCCCTGAATTTTAGATTACAAAAAAAATTGTACAAATAATAAGCAAATCCTGTCCACCTGATTCTTGTAAGCCTTTTATTAACCTAGGTATTTTACCATTACCTTGTCTCTTGATATATAAATCAGTGGTTTTTGTCAAAAATTACTTACTTAAGGGTGGGAATATATTTTCAGCAAACGCCTTTGTCTATAACTACAACACTCGATGTAGTAATCATATTCACCAGATAACAGTATCAACAGCCAACTACAAAAAATTCACATATAATACATGTACATTATTTTACAACACCTTGCCAGATGACATTAAATGATTAAATTCGATACAAAAGTTTGTCCCAAGTAAAATATTTTCTGCTGCACAACTGTTTCTATACAGTTAGAAACTATACCGAGCTTCCAAAAGGAAAGTAATATTAATTTTAACAATGACATGTAATGTATCATTTGGATTATATAATTGTAAAGAACCTGTAACAAGTATTGTACTTTAGCTTCTGAGTCAATGACTCCCATCTAGATCAGGTTTTTGTCATGTTTCCCTGATCCTCGAGCAAGTGCTGAGATGTCCCCTTGTTTTGCATCTGGTCTTAAATGTAAATTCAAATTAACATTTCCCATTGCACGTCTCACACAGTTTTAACTGTTTTTGACATATATAAATAAAGAAATAAATGCTGAAATGGTCCCTTGTTTTGCTTCTGGACATCGATGTAGCTTCACTAGATGTAGCGCATGTTTTGTTGAACTCTTTTGCTTGTAGTGGTGATAGTGGTAGGAGTAGAGCTGGGGATGAATTGCAATTTTTTTGGCAATGAAAAAATCCAATCTGGCCCGATTTTTTTGGCCAGAAAAATCAAATCTGTAGTTCGTTTACCAATACAAATGTTTTCTTCAACTCGAGAACGAAAATATTATTATTATACTTATTTTTCAACTATATACTATTCATCTTTTAACTATTTAGAGTTAAAATGTTGGGAAGAGATTCGGGAACTCAAGGAAACGTGCGCAGATGATCTTCTCACCCCCGTACCTTACATACAGTTTTGCTGTGTTTTTTTTACTCAATATATCAATCGAACGAAAGTACGCGTTGCGCTTCCTTGGTACATTCACGTAGAACGTGCATATATGGAATTCCATGGCACAAACCTGTTGTCGTTCAATCGTCTGTACTCTTCGCGCTTCGTTTATGTTTTTTTGTTTGTTTAGGTCGGTAAACTCGCGCTTAGCTCCTTAGCAACCAACCATCTAAACAAAGTGGGACAAAGTGCGCTTCCACAACAGCTGTTAATATGCTCGAGGGTCCATTATAAATATTTTAGCGGACTCTCAGGTTTAGATTTTACCAATGCTCATAAATCTTTGGATAATATTTCCCTTTTGTGCCACTTGCCCCCTTGTCCAATTGTCCCATTTTTCTTTTTGTCTAATTTGTCTCCCTTTCGCCATTTTGTCCTTTTCTTCACCTTTTCCAATTTTATCCCTATTGTACCATTTTTCGCTTTGTCCCCATCATCCTCCTTTCCCGCTTTATCCCACTTGGCCCTCTGAGTCCTTTTGATACCCATAATAACCACCATTAGGATTGTTATTTAAAAACTGTGCCAACAGCCACTGCTACAGAACATCGAGAGTAATGGCGATTCTTAACTCATGAAATCGACCGGAAGGCATGGAATCGACCTTCCGGCGTCGTTTTTAAAAACTAATTTGGAGGGCTTTATTCATAAATAAATATTTCAAATGTAAATTGAAGTGTAAGATTAAAATTGTCTTGTAATATTACAAATCATTAACAATATTGCAAGAAAGTATGTGCTGTTTATTAGTTTTGTTAGTGTTATAACTTGATATGACATTAAACATTGTAGCCTTCCTTGCATTTAGTTGTAGTTGCAAAAAGTAGTAGTTGAATTCACAAATCATGTACTTGGGTTTTTATATTGTGGAGAGTCAGGGTCTGTCACGATGGAATATCTCACGGCATTTTGCATTTGTCTCGGCCGGGCCGCTGCAGTGCGATGTGTGTAGTGGCACGACCGAGAAAGTCACGAAATGCCGTGAAGATATTCGTGAAGACTGGCTTTGATGTGCCCCCTAAGGGGGAGGGGGGGCGAGGGATCGTATTGTAGTGTTAAAATAATGAACACTGTATTCGTTTAATTGCAGGAAATTTATTTGTCTGAACGATAATTTGGATCCAAATCTTGATAAAGACAATACAATAGTTCGTGCAGTGTTGCAAGACTTCTTTGAATCTTTATTTCCACTACCTTCAGCATTTGAGTTACCTCCAGAATATCGAAATCGTTTTCTGCATGTCTCTGAACTGAAAGCATGGCGCTCTGGAAGAAGTCTCCTTCGAAATGGCATATATTTGTGCTTGATTCTTCTTCTTATATTTACATTATTTAGTTTTTTACAAATCGAGGTTAGTAAATATAACTTGTTTAACAAATATAATACAGTATATTATATAAGTATAAATTACATAAAAATTGCTTTTGATTTTCAGTGCTGTACATTTCAAAGAAGGCGGCCAAGAAAAATTTATCAGGATGTATAAAAACTAAGATTGCTTATTATGTAAGAGTATTGTGCCATTAAGAAGAGTTTAAGGTCCTCCATTTGGTTGGAGAGATTGCCTTGTGTTCCTCTGCCAAGTAAAACTATAATTGTTTTATTAACATCCATGTACAAGTTTGTACAGATGCTAGCACATTCTAGTCCTAATTTATTCATGCTGCTAAAATGCCAAGTTTTTTAAGTGTTCTAACTGTGCAACTTTCTGTTGTAATTAATTTTAAAGTTACAAATAAAAATATAATCAACGATAAACATTTTTTAGAATAATTTGTTTACATTTTGTTGGTTTTATTCTGTCTGTAGAGATGTTTCAGTTTCGTCATTCAGCAAACCATGTGGAATCAATCTTTTTGGTTAGGGGTTGTCCATAAATTACATAACACTAAAGAGAGGGGAGGGGGTCTGAGGCAGTAATTACGCTGCATTACATAGGAGTAGGGTGTATTAGTTTAGTGTAATGTAATATTGATTTTACATTTTTCAACATTTGCTGAAATACATGAGCCTTTTTTGAGTCTTGTACTAAAACATTTAACAAATTAATATTTTAAAAACATAAATAAACTAAAAGTTATTAGTAGTAAATTGTTACAATAAATGGAATTTTTTTTCAACATTTTTTAAAATCTGTAATATTACTAAGAAAATGTTGAAAACTGGTATGAAGTAAATTCTAGAATGCATTAAAATTGGCGCTGTAAGCTTGTGATCAACCATTCACTCACAACTTGCCCCAATCTTATTGCTAGATGCAGCCAGCATTGCCAACTTACTTCTTCTTTAATTAATATGAATTACTTTAATATACAACACAAGAAAAATGAATACAAATTGTATTTTCTGTGCTATAATTTTTTTCACTTCTTGCATTTGCAAAGTGGGGGTTGTCCCAAGTGTTAGGTCATTATTTAGGGGTGGAGGTTTCAAGCGTGCGCTACTGGTACGTTACAAGGGGGAGACCGGGTATTGAAAATACTCCAAATTTGTGTTACATAATTTATGGATGACCCCTTAGAACCTATTTTCCTATCTACTGACTCATTGCACTTAACAATCAACTGTCAACATGCCAATTGTGTATAAGTTATATTCCACAAACCTCAAGCATTATACAATTTTGTTGAATTGCCATAACTAGTACAATTTATTTAATTGTGCACATGCTTCGATACTGAGGTGCTTGGCCAGTTTCTCTTAACATTCTAGAGAGATGAGTATTTTCATCCACTATTTTTGAGCCTTGCTTAGTGTAACTTGTATGGCAATTTGTGTAAAAGCCCATGGTTTAAAAATACTTTATTCAAATGATAACATGGCATTGGATTGTTTGTATAAGGAGAGGTATGGAATGTCATCACTGAAGCACTAGGATATTAACGTTTTGATCAAGAAGATGCATACATTTTATGTCATGTTTACATAATTTTATAGATTCATGTTCTACATTTGATCGTAGACATGAAACAAGTAAGGTGATATGTTGATGTTGTGTAAATTTGTAATTATTTCAGTAATTGTAGCACGTAAGTAAATAACAAGTCAAGCACCAAAATCTTAATTCGGAGATAATTCTTTAACCCTGGTGATAAGCTGATACAAACATATACAAACAAGTGATCTTTCTTTTTGGACTCGCATGCACAAGATGCACACACTGTTCAAGACACACGATGGGCGTGAAGTTATCGACGTAGGTGAAGATTTTATTGCTTCAATGGCGAATTTCCAGGAACCTCTTTTTCCAGTCTCGATAGAATGGAGTGGAAGTCGGCAATAGCCGAGGAATTTATTTCCCTTTTGAAGAATCAGAATTAGGACAGGGGTAGGGTTTAGGACACTTTACAGGGGTTGGTCCTTGGGGAGCAGGCAAACTCATTTTGTTGGAACAATTTCACATGAGATTGTCTGTGAATCAACGGAAATCAGAACTGAACTTCCGTGGTGTGACTTTGCTCTGTGCCTCGAGATGCCTTACTTTTGTTTCGTTAATGAAGTGAATAGCTTTTGTTTCGAATAGCCAATGTAATAATAGCTTTGGGAAATAAGAAAATTGAGAACTTGGTAGCTGTAAGTCTTGATCACAAATGGCAGAAATTCAAGTTGTGCTCAGAGGTTTCCTCGAGACTTATGGGTTTGAATATTGAAAGTCCATTTGTTTTGGGAGTCATGGTACTTGCATTTTTAATGCTGAACTGATCTAACTCCTCTGTAGTGAACCTTACTAGAGGATCACAATGTAATAAAATGTTCGTGTTCCCAAATAATGATTGGTGTAGAAAATAATTCTTAATTATAAATACTCTCCACTATTAAGATATTAATTTATAGGCTATTTATAATGCACTAATAAAAATGTATGATGCATGGAATGAATATATTTATGTGGTCCATTACAACAATGACATAACATTTACAAACAATTTTTAAAAGTTTCTCATAAACGATAGATTTACTCATTTGATTCCTTAATAATGTTAATTAATTTCTTACTTTACTACAACAATGTTCAAATATGCAGAATGTGCAAGTGTTATTTATTCAACAAGTTTTGATACTTTAAGCCAGGAAAATATTTCTTTCCAAAATGTTTTCTCGGCAGAAAATAAAAATAATTTAAAACAAATGTAAATCAGATTGTGGGTAAACTTTTCAAATCTAATGAACAGTGCTAATACAATTAAAAAATACAATTTAATATGCAGTTTTGTTCTAATCCTCAGCAGTCAACCCTTGAAACTTGTAAAAATATTATTTACTTCTTCATTGCTGCTGAAATTAGGTCCATCGGTAAAGGAAAAACAATGGTATAATTCTGTTCTGTGGAAATTGTAGTCAATGTCTGCAGGTAGCGTAGCTAGAAAGCAAAGTTTTGAATTAATAACTTATTCCAACGCTAAAAAAGTTATGATTTCTAAAAGCTATAACAACTTCTAGAAAATGAATGTTGAAATGAACACTTAGGACATATGTTTACTATAAATGCAATTTTTGTGGATAATGCCAATGCCAACTTTTCGTGGGCGATGATCATTTTCTCAATGCAAGTGTCGAGTGTGTGCATGCATGTGATGCAATTAACGCTATTCCAACGCAATTCGCGTCAAGGTCGCTCATGCGGTCCCCTAAGTACGCTCGTCGCGTCTCTTCTACTATACTTACGGCCCTGTTCGGTGCTCATCACTCTGGGCCTGTGAATTTCAAATGCAGAGCAGCGCGATACATAATTTTAACATTTATTGGATTCATTTAATTTTGATCGAATCTTATCTTGTTCAATTTTATTGTGGATATTGTGTTCGGAATTGGTAGTATTATTCATATTATTGAATGGTGAGTTTGTACTTTCCATTTGATGTCGTTCAACTTCATTTATTGTATTACACAATTTGTTAGTAATAATTGTAAATTGAAAAATTTAACTATTCCTTTTATCTTTTTGTTATTTAAGTGTGTTTTTATGTATTACAGTTTACACCTAATGATGGGGTCACAATGTGCTCCGAAATGTTGTAAATAAATTTTTGTGATTGTTTACAATTTAAATGTCCATCCAAATTACTGAGGTGTAGCAGAGCAAATATTACAAAAAATAGACAGACTCATGAAAGGAAGAAATTATCTTTTTCAATTTTGAAAATTAATGATTTCAAAGTAAAAACTCTCACGCAGGTCGTAAAGTCATCTAAGTGTAAATATATAAGAATAATCGATTATAAGAAATAACAATATACAAATCTACACGTGCTGAATTTTGAAAGGCCCACTTAGTAGCATTTTTGTTCTGCGACTCGGGTTTTCTCCCGGCGGCCCTAATAGGAACGGTACAACTTTCTCGTAGCTCTGTCTGTGTGCAGGCGAACGATCTTTCCTCTGGACATGTGGTTCGTAGTTCTACTCGGCCCTCTACACAATGTCCATTATTATTGTGCGCGCATTGAGTCGTCGGCGCGTACCTGCAGCGAGGCGGGGCTGTCGGTGAGGATGTTGGAGGCGTCCATGAGGGTGCGCGCCGCCTTCATCTCGCCCTCGGCCGAGATGACTTTGGCGCGCGCCTCCCGGGCCGCCTCCGCCTCCGCCGCCATCGCCCGCTGCAGGCCGCTCGGCAGGCGCACGTCCTTGCTGCGGACCCATTGCTGGCGTTCAAGCACTCCTTTGCGTGTGGGAGGCATGCAATTTACAATGCTTTGCTGCTTTCAAGTAACACGAAATCCATCGAAATCTTTTCCTCTCACTGCGATAAAGTACTTGTAGTAGTCCATAGTTTTAATTTAATTTTTAATATTTTACCATTTTAATGGCTCGTGTGGAAAAACATAAATTTGCTCCATCTTTTCATTGCCTCTGTTTATCCCCTAGAGGTAAGATGATGTACTAGTTTGCGTTAGGAACAGTCGCTTTGGCACTTGGAACATAACATTTCGAATACCTGAAGATTAGACGCGAAAAGTTACGTGGTGTAAAAGTGTATGCGTGGTTTGGTGTGATTAACCCTTGAGTTTCAGAATAACTTCATGGAAATGAAATTATTGGAATGCAATGAGAGGAAACCTCTTGTAAAATGAAAGAATTTTCGGGAAAGTAATCGAAGTCGCATTTGACCATTTTTGAAAATACGCTATTGGTCTCACAATTTCATTATCCATAGCAACAGAATCAAACTAATGCGTTCATTACGTATAAAAACAGGAAAATTATAATTTTTAACAATAGACACAACTTTTAAGCTCTCATCCAATTATCATATTTGGAAAAAAATTGTCTATATGCAACAATTTTTTTTAAACTTTTTGTAAAGTCTTGACATTTATAATAAAAAAAATAAAAACATGTTCACCTAAACCTGTTTAAAGAGGGCAGTTCCATCTTTTAGGTGTAACAACATCAAATTAAAATGCAAATTGTTAGAATTACACTAATTTTATACATTTTCCCGGAATAATAGGTGGCCCTTAGTTTCGAGTTGTGAATTTCCGAAAGTATTAGATATTTATATCTTAAAAGGTGTTACAAGGAGCAAAAATATGCATGGTAATTTTGCATGCACTTAACAGAATACGAATACCTTAAAATGTATTGACTATTGTTTAACTTTTAATTGATTATATTTACCAACAGTCCTTTGAATGTTTTTAAGACACCCAATTAAAAGACAAAAATTAATATACTCGTAGTTACATTTGTCGTACTCACATTTCAACCCTCTCGACTATGATACCCCATGCTCCTGTAGCCTTATCCAAAATTATTTGCATGGAGCGAGCAAGCGTTTCTCTCGAACAGAGAATTTCACTTAAACTATGAATGCCCATTGTGTTTCGAAGAGTTGTAGCAGCCAGGTAACGAGTAGCTTCACTGAAATGAAAGAATTAATTTTTCGTTATTATTTCCTGTGTTACAACTTAATATTTTAGAAGAAGACGACTTCTAAAGAAGAGTAAATTTGAGCTTCTTTGTATTAAAAAATTTCGAGTTTTAAAAAAAATTATATGACATAATTTAAAGCACATGTACTCATAAGGGAAAAAAATCCCGCTAATGTAAATATTAACGACCAGAGAGAATAGTAAACTAGTGCTACAGAATGGCACAGACTTTCCCGTGTTTTCTTTGGTCTCGTATAGCTAGATGAATTTGTCATACACTCTTGCCAACTGCCACCTATCGTCGCCCAAAATATGTTTTTAAACAATTTCTTAATTTTTCGGTTTTCTAATTGTAAAACGGTAATATTATTTTACGAATATTAAAGAGCAGTAAAACCTCATCATAAATGGCAATTTTCTTTGAAAAATTAGTACCTGTTTTGAACAAAAATGTTGTTGAAGCCTTTTTGTAAAATCGAAATTTGAAGCTCTTTTTAAAGAAAATTTTGGAGTTTTCAAAAATCTTCATTTGAAGTCATTTTAAGTACTTTATTTCGCAAATATTATACAGTTTACAAATTGCTGGCAATATGCATATATTGACATGAAACATTAAAAAAAAAAAAAATGACATTTGTGTAAATTTTGAAAAAACAAAAATTACCTTGAAATGAACTTTGTCATATTAAAGAGTGGAATTCGCACTGTCCGTTCAAAATGTTTGAAGAAAAAAATTGAAGCAGAGACACAAAGAAACAGATAGAGGCAGATGCAGATATAGAGACATAGGGAGACAGTAAGGCAGACTGAGACAGGAATTGAATAGGAATAAACCCGGGCATCGCCGGGTATTTTGCTAGTGTAGGGAAAGTTATGAAACGCTTCAGAATATCGACTTCGGGATTTCAATAAAAAATACACATTTTGGGGTCCTCTGGTACCGAAAAAGTATTTATTTTCAAAACGTCCCTCCGTTCGTCTGGTATATGTGCACAACACTACTGCCTCAACTATGCTTAGGATTTTTTCCAGTTGATTAAACCCCTGTCGTTCTGATCTGAGTCAAAGCTCTGTGATTTGCAAAATCATTCATTAATTTTTGGGGTGCTTTACATTAAGCCCTTGGGACATTTTCAAATTTTTTTCAAAAATTACTCAAATTTTTTTCTTTAAATTTCTTGCAAGAATAGTGTGAAATATACGTACATAGATGTCATAGATTCGATTTCCACTGATAATTCAGAATTTTTGAAAATTGTAAAATATTGCAATTTTTTCGGCGTCTTGCTTCAACTATAAAATTGAAGATAGAGATTTTTCATTTATGTAAAATTAGATCTCCATTATTATTTGTTTCGTTAACGTCAGGCACATTCTTTGAAAAATATATTATTAATTATATTATGTTTCTTCACAAATTTCAAAAATTTAGCAAATCACAATAGCTAGTCCAGACTAAAGATAATACAAATCTAATACGAGAAAGTATGTGCCATTCTGTTGACCACTAGTTTTCCTTTGAAGTTTGGATGTAAATCTTCCACAAACGTAACAGAAGTTATCGGGTTGATTCACTCACTTTAGATGTGAAATGACGATTTGCATTTTATCGAACTGATTCAATTCTACAGATCATGTGGCAAATATCACTTTATAAAAAATACAGTACTAAAATGTATTAATGTATTTGAGGGTCGCGCAAACCAGACACGAACTTCACTGCAGTTACAGTTCCGCGAGACACCGACTGTGTCAGAATCTGCCACCCCAACAGTTGAATACTCGTATACTTTCGATAAGGTAAGGGGCTAAAATAATTCCTTTCGGAGACTGATGCGCCGTAGGAAATATGGGGATGCAGTGACTTGTTTTCAAAAAATCCACTGAAACCTACTAAGACCACTAAGTCCTACCTCTTAATTGAGCGCTACTACCACACGCGAGAACAAAAACGGCATCTTCGAAAACAGAAGGTAAAAAAAAACAGCACGAAAGCCTAATTTTATTGATAGTTCATGAAAGTGACATAGATGAACTGAACAAATAATTTATTTTTAAATAGATTTTGTGTGTATTGATTCTTCGTATCTTACAGGTGCAATTTAAATATATTTGGATTACTTGCAAAATATGAAATGATGAGGTATAAAGATACGGTATATTTACAAAAACTGTGACGTGATAAGACCTTTTTATTGCGATATTCGTAGTCTACGTATAAAATTGAGTACGTTGCGCACTCTACTTTCCTGGAGATAAAAATCTTGTTCCCTAGTGTTATCTGAACTGCCCTTTTTTCTGAGTAATCAAAGTTTACTGACTTTTTTACCATTTGTTTCATCCATTTGTATTTGTGACTCTTTACAAAGATTACTACACAAACCTGTAGTCGCTGACACAAACGACAGCCTTCTTTGGGTCTTGGACGCGATAGAATACTACAGCATCTACAGCCACTGTCACCGAATCGCGAGTAAGAATCTGGAAGCAATAACTTCCATGTTCTATTTATGTAATAAATAATTGTTAAAATACACTGAAGAGCCAAAAAGTTGTGTTTGCCTCTTCAATATATAAGAACACAGATAAGTTAAATCTGCTTTCGACAAATATATTTTTCATTCACGATCATACGCCATTATTCATAGTATTGTTTAACTGACAGTGTGTATTCTGAAAAAAAACAAAACAAAACAAAAACAACAAAAAGAAAACCCTCGTAGAATAAGATTCAACTTGTAATCGTCAGTCATTTTCAGTGCTCGGGAATCGTAATGTGGAACTATTTCCTCTCGTTTATGGCAACATTGTTCGGTGCTAGTTTGACATGAGAGATGAGAGGATGTGCTACTGAAATCTTTTATTTTACAAACGTTTTTGTAAGAAACATTAGTTTAGATAGTTTTGGAGAAATTATCAATTTATTAGTAGCAAGCAGCAGGAACAATGCTGCTGAACAAAACGTCACAAAATGGTTTTCCAAAAAGAAGTACGCACACTCTTCTCTCACTACTGTAACACTGCAACAAATGGAATATTTTAATAGGAGTCGTCAAGTATAGGTACTGCAATAATGTATAGTATAATACACGGATACATAGTACAATAGTTCTTTACGTGCCAAAAACATAAAAAAAACTGCTTGCTGTTCCGAAACCATTAGTAACTATGTAATAACGAAATACCTCTTCCTTGGAGCCTTGCTGTAAAATGACGTCACCTGTGTCTAAGGCAATAATACGGCAACTGTGAGAATTCAGTCGCCATGAAAATAGACGAATAACACAAACATTTGTATTTTCAATCAAACGGGAAAATGGTTAAATGTAACTTCACTATCTGTGCTCGTCTTCTAAGTTCTGTGGGCAATTAGTACCGATAAGTCATTTTGCCTTGCAAAAGGTGAGGTAGAATATATTTTTTTATTAGTAAGAAAACCCTAAGTTTTCCACCTCAAAATACTTTTAGACAAGTAACCTTGTGCCCGCAGTTTCTTTGTGTATAGGACGCTTTATATGATTCCATAATTTCAGTCGTATTCTTTCCCACACAGGAAACAATAGGTTTTCAAACTGAAGTATCTATTATACGATCTAAGAAGTGGTGATATACCTGGCTGAGACTGCTCTCTTTGCTTTCAAGTTGGTGCAGAAATCAATTTTGGATTGGATGGATACTTTGCATGAAAAGGTTTAGGAGCAGTTATATCCTCCCACAAGAAATTTTTCTGAATTCATACGATTCCTCTCTTCTGCCTCACAATCAATTCGCCTTCCACCTAACTCCCCTCACATACAAAACTCACTCCCGACACACAGACTGAAGTGAAGTGAAGTGCGGTGTGGTCTTAACTGAACAAAAATTCAGTGCGGAGTTGGATTATAGATGTTTCTTTTTTTAAGGTAATTTAATGTTTTATGAATTCGACTGTTTTTATATCATTATTATTTTTATTATTGTTATTATTATTATCATCGTTGTTTTATCAGCTGTTTTTATTGTTTCTATGATTATTATTATATAATTTGCATGTTAGCTGTATTATCTTATTTATGTAATTAGCTGCCAACGGGTTATGCTCATTTGCAGTTCAAATAAATTTATCGTATTATCTTTATACCTAAATGTTATTTATTGCGAATTTCCTGTTCAAAAAGGATCGAGAGGGAGACAAGCGATGTAGAAGCGCTATTAGGAGTGATATAGAGATGGCGTAGCCGAGATTTTAGATTTCAAAATCTGTTGTAAATGACAATTACCATAACGTCCTTTCATAAAAATAATAAATTTTGATAATTATGAAGTCCGTCATTATAGTATATTTACCACTAAATGCGGTTTTTCCTTCTTGAAGCAGAGACCGCCCTGTTACGCGTTTGCATTTCTTCAGTAATAAAATTATTATTTACTGGTTGCTGCATTTCGAGTAAAATTTAAAAAACGCGCCGGGACAACGGCGCGAAACAGCTCCCCGAAGTTCGTGGGGGCGGCGCAGCAGCACAGGCGCCGGCCAATGGGGAGCGAGCGGCAGCCGAGCAGCGAGGCCGTGCAGAGCAGACGGAGCAACCAACGGATACGAGTAGTGTGTACGAGGACGGCGTGTTAATCAGAGTTATTGAAGATTGGATACTTGGATAAACTTGGCATTGTGTTTGGAGTCTTTATTGAATCAACTGTCGACTGCGCTACTATTGGTACATCTCTTTGTATAACGTTACTTTGACTTTGTTTCTGGATATTCTTCTGGTTGATAGGAAATAACTGCCTGTGAGTTGAATAAAACTTATTGTTGTTACATTGTGTTTTTCCTGGATACAACATTAATAGTAAATAATATTAGTAATATTTAGAAGAATACCACGAACGTCATTTTGTTGTATTGGAACGCTTTTGAGGTAAGTAAATCGTGTCAGTTGCCAGAACGTATAGGTCTAGATTAACTTTTACCAGAAATTTCAAACGCGAGTTTAATCTCAGTAAGTATTAAAAATATTAGTATTTAATCGCTTTTTATTTATAATGATCTTGGGAATTAAAAAATACTACATTACAGAGACCATTAGTAATTTTGTGTTTCAGAATCAAAAGGAACATTTGGTGAAATTTTAGAATCTCGTAGCTCTGTTGCTGTTTGCTTGACAAACAAATTATTTATAAAGCAAATTTGTAAAGAATGCTGTAACCTTTAAAAGTGTACATAACCTTTTTTTGCACTAACATCAACCATTTAAACGTTATTACGCAAAAATAAAAAAAAATATTATCGAATTTGGTTTGGTTTTTTGGGTTCCAAAATTTATCCCGAAGCATTTCGAGATGGAAAACTTAGGGTGTTCTTAATAATAACAATATCAATAAAAAAAAGTCTTCTACCTCACCCTTTTCTAGATACACCCCCTTTTGGATTCACATCGACTGCACTAAATACGAGTCGGTAATTCATAATCGTTATTCGTAATTATTAATTGGTATAGTTATTAAAAGTATCGTTCTCCGTGTTTTGGCGGAAGGAAGTGGATTCCTTCAAGAAGAGCACGGAGGATAAAACAAAACAAAATCTGTAGTTGGTTTCTTCTGCAAAGAATTTTTGTTCAACTTGACTGAATGTTTCTTATCAATTCTGGTCACAAAATGCTTATTTCCTATTGTATTTAGAATTAATCTTTTATATAAATTAGGGTAGGGATCCCAGAATTTAAGAAAACGTGCACAGAATTCACTTGTTCTTATAGTACTTGTACATCGCGTACGGTTTTAACTATTTCTTGACGCTAAAAAACAAATAAACTATTTCATTGTTTGCGGATTTTCCTCGAGATCCTGATTATCTAACAAAACAGTAGACATATTGTGCATGGCCAGAGACAGCATAGTTTTCTTCCCATTTCGGCGCGTAATATAATTTGAATTGCAATGCAATTTAAATCAAAAAAGTACTTACATCTTGTGGTGGGACATTAAATGTGTGCGTTCTTAGGTCCACCTTAACAGCGTTATCAGTGCAAGGAAGTAGAAAAATCAAGCCTGGTCCTTTAGCTTCCCCACTGCGTAGGCGACCCAATCGAAATATGATGGCTCTTTCATACTCAGTAATGACCTGCAATGGGTTGAAAATAGATACGTATTAATCGAAATTGATTTTGTAAGGTAAAAGCATTCACTAAAGAAACAATTTGTTTGCATGGAGTCTAGGTATCTATGCATTTCTAGAAGCCTATAGCGCACAGCGTCGTCTAAAGATTTGGGGTTCACGTTTGCATCAAAATAGTTAAGAATTTCGAAATTTGTATTTTGAGGTTCAGAGACATGGACAGAGTGAAAGTGCGTTTCAATGAATATTGAAACGCCTATATAATTTTGGAATAAAAATAACTTACTTCGAAGTATCAGAAGTGCGAAAGCAGTACGAAAGTGCGTCTAAACGAAGTTGCGTCACCTTGCCCGCCCCGACCTCTCTCAAATAGTAAAAACCGCATTGGTGTCGTGTTGCAACGCACGACAGCGAGTGTTTTCAAAACCTGGGTGAAGCATCCGTTCAGACCTCTTAGACAAGCTCTAAGAACCCGCCTGGTTTCACGATATGTATGCATGTATTTTTTTATGCATGCAGTATGTAGTGCCGTGCATGTAAGTGTATGTATAAGTAAGAGTTAAGGGTATACCGAATAAGAGGAAAGAAAGATCGCGCGCGGTTGCTGGCGAGTTGGTTAGTGTACTGCTCCGGCATTTGCCTGGTGTTGAAAAATTGCGGCACTAAATCGGCACACACTCTCTCGCCCCCTTAGTAACGGTTATGTAATAATACGCCGCATTTCTGTCTACATCAACACATCTCAGTCGATGAGCGCTGCCAACAATGGGCACATATTTTATCAATTCTAGCTAAAAGCGCCATTTTTAGCATAAATGGAACTGTTTTGAGTGTGCACTGTTGTGATTTTATGAAATTTCTTGAACGGCGTTCTTTATGAATACTATTCCTTGTTTCGAATACCTACAATTATTTTTCGCCGTATCTCCAAGTGTATTCTAAGTTCATTCTTAAATTTTTAATTTTCTTTAAAAAGATGCATTTTCTTTTAAGCTCTTCGACCACATTTTCATTTGGTTTACAAATCAGTTTACGATTATTTCGAACATGCGTACAAACAGTTTTTCGAAATTCCTACAAAAACTAGTGGTGCTAAAATGCACGTACTTTCTTGCCGTAGGATCACGCGAAATGTACTCAAATTTTCGAAAAATTGTGCATGACCGTATATAAAAATCTATCTTTAAGAAACATATTTAATTAAGGAAAAAATCTTTATCTTCATTTTTGTAGTTGTAGTAAGATGTCGAAAAAATTGGAATTTTTGCAGTTTTCGGAAAATAAGTGTTTTCAACGAAAATGAGATCTGGAGCTCTCTCTTAAAAGTTCACCACACTATCCAATAACAAAGTTTAATCGAAATCGACGGAGCCATTGTTTTGAAAATTTGGAAAATGTCCCAGGGGCTTCATGGAAAGTCCTGTCCCTCGGTTCGACAGCCCGATCCGCGTCTTGGCCGAGCGGTGCTGGCACAGTACCCCCAAATTACAACATCAGTTGCGCCGCTAGCGTTGTTCAGGCACGGACGGACAGATTATCGCCGCGTTCGACAAACTACAAAACATGGATTCTGACATTTATCCATTTTTTTCGTTAGCCCATAATAAATCGTTTTCTCCCGAAAATTAGCCGTTTTTCGCTCTGCATTACATAACTTGCTATTGCGTAAGCGGTAGCGAGAAAGGTATAACTTGAACATTGCCAGTGGTGCGTGGAAATGCAGAGTACAGAAGAAAGAACAAGAGAGAATACGAGTACTAAGTCATGTAATGTAATAGAAACACGTGTTCTTACCCGAAAACAGAAGAATACGGATATAGGGAAAGTTAAAATTAACAACACTGCTGAAAGAAAAACTACAATTGACTCGCCAATTCCAGCTGATCCTCCTGTAACAATAAAAATTATTTAAGTAATTAATTAAATGCAGCCATTTTACTAAGTAATGCAATTTTATACTGTAATAGAACCATTTTGTTTTTTAGATTACAAAAATGAATACAATTTCTCAGCACATAGCTGAAAATAAACTTATTCTTAAAATGTATTTGTAATAATTTCCTTCCCATTCAATCAGGGGCGTCTAGAAGGAGGGCAGGTGTGGCAACATGCTCCATTCCCCTTGTTAATTGGGGTCCCGAATATTTTAATTTAAAAGAAATAAAAAATATGTTTAACTCTAATCCAAATTTAATGCTATAAGATATTTCTCATGCATAGAGAAATGAATTCTGTCAATGAATTGGGGAGGAATTGATGTCGAGCTCGAAAGTAGCTCTTCGGTGTGCTTATGGCAGCGCTACATGGCAGCTGGCAAGACCGAAACGCTATTAGACCAAAGAATTAGAAAACTAACTAGTACAAGGAAGTCTATGCCATTCTGTAACACCACCCAATAAAGAAAAGAAATTAAGTGATCGAGAAACCAATAAGGCATCATTTGATGCACTACCTCTCAAAAATGATATAAAGTATAAAAAAATGTCGGGTTTGTAAATATTAATATCGTGAGAAATATTTAAAAAAATTACATTTGTGTAATTTAAAAAACAAGAAAATTAAACAGCATAGTGAAGTTTCTGTCATCTGTTACAGTGAAATTACCACTATCCCTAGGTTAAAGTAATTATTTGGAGCCGTTTTTGACAAAATCTTTTATTTTTGAATATTATTCACATTTGACTGAATATATTTTGAAAAGTACATTTCCTAATTTGATGATGAATTTTTGTAGAACATAATTTATTTTGAGGAAAAATATCTTGAATAATGAAGTTGTAAGTAGACAGAAAAAATTGAACTTTTGTAGTTTTCAAAATTTTAGATATTTGAACAAAACTGTGACTTGCGTCAGTTTGTTAAGCGTCCTTTACGTCCAAAGTTCAAAGAACTTTCGAGCCATTTTTGAGTAAAATTTAAAGATGTTATTGATGCTTCATGTAAAGCCCCCTAAATTAAAACATCGTTCTCAAATACAAAGGATGTCCGTATTACCAATGTCATGTGATCACAACAATTGGGGAATATATATTTTCATGCTTACAGTTCATTCATTAGCGTTGTTCCCAGACGGGCGGACAAACGTTTTGCCAGCAATCAATCTTTCGGTATCAAGAAGCCACGAAACGTGAATTTTGAGTGCAGAATGTGTTAATGGAAGAAATTCGCTACAAATAAGAACGGGAATTGTCCACTTTTTCGGTATCAGGGACCTACAATACTAATTTTTATGCTGAAAAAATCGCTGTATTGTATAACTTTCTCTAGACGACACACGTAGTATGCGAGAAAAAAGTATGCTGAGATGGCCCCTTGTTTTGCTTCTGAACGTAAATGTAGCTTCACTATGCACACGTTTTGTTGAACTCTCCTTTGCTTGTAATGGTAAGAGTAGCGGTAAGGGCGAGTTGCTATTTGTTAGCAATGCAGAAAAATTATACTTTCAATTCGTGAACCGATGCAAATAAGTTTTCTGTAACTCAGAAACAAAAATGACCGTTTTCCAAATATTGCTAATCTTGCGATTTTTAAATTTTATTTTTATTTCTTTGGGTTAAACTTTTACTCATCTTTCAACTATTTATAGTTACAATGACGGAGAGAGATTCTGGAACTCAAGAACACGTGCGCAGATAATCTTTTCCCCCCTACGTCACATACAGTTTTTACTGTTGTTTTTTTATTGAATAAATCTAAATCTAAGTAACGGAAAAGCAGCAGTATAGATGACCGCGTCGGGCGATCGTCGACAAAATGGCCGCACTGCATGATTATGTCTCTACTGAATTACCGTCTTCGACGTCTATTTGGATGCGGGCGCTGCCCGCGACCCCTGGCACGTGCGGCTTGCCCGCTTCAGCGGGCTCCTTCGCCATGTCGGCGAAGAGTTCGTGGCGCGGCGCGTCGGGCGCGAGCGCCAGCAGCACGAGCGTTTCGCGGCCGCGCGCCGCCTGCCGCGGCTGAGGAGGATGCGCCGCTGCCGCGACCTCGGCCTCCGCGCCCTCGCCTCTGCCCACCCACTCGCAGCGGCACGGCGACGGCCCGCGCGGCGCGCGCTCCGCGTGGCTGCAAGCGGAGTGGGCAGTGCAGGCTCTGGCCCTGGCGGGTGACGCCCTCTCTGGAACCTGAGATTCGGCACGGACCTGGACGCAGGGGCGCCCAGAGAAAACTAGGGGCAATTGATCCCCGAGGGCCCCTCGTTTCAAACAAAAAGGTCCTTCCACCCCCGATTCATGAACTGAATCAATTTCTACATGCATCGGAAATAACTTATTATATTTAAATTTTGCATGAATACATTTTATTAAATTTCTTTTCAATGTTAAAAACGTTTGGGCCCCGATTAGCTGGGGATCTGGGTCATGTTGCCCCAGCTCCCCCCTTCCTGTCGCCACTGTTAGATGAGGGCTTTCGATGTTACTGCCTCCAGGTATTTCCGCCTCTGGGGCACCACCGCCAGCGCAAGCTCCAAGAATGATGTCTTGGACATGTGCGACACTTTTGGGATTGTAAGTGTACCGGGAGAGGACAGGGCAAGGATGAGGAAGGGAAAAAATATGAACTTGTATTTGTCACTTGCGTTAGTTTGTTACTAGTCCTTAATTTTATTTCTTGTGATTTGGAAGATGTCGGAAATAAACTGCACAGTTGTTTACATTTTGTGGTTGAGTATGATTGTGAAACTAGTGATGCTACAACAGCACATACTGTCTCGCGATATTATTAATTGTTATGTAATATTATAATATGACAATTTCTGTCTTACACTTCAACTACAATTTGAGACTTTTTAAACAAACGAAGCGTACACATATTTTAAGACACTTTTTTAAATTTTAAAGTACACATATTGTTTAATTGAAACGTTTTAATGACCACACCTTTCTGCCATTGAATTCAGTGTATTCACGTACTATATATACACAAATGTATCAAAGATGTGTGTTGTGTATTTTAGCCGAAAATGCAATTGTTATATTAACGTGAAGCGACGGCGGCCATCGCTATCGCCCTCTTGTCCGTGCGGCATTGCAAGAGCAACATTGACTGCTGATACGTCGCCGTGCAAAAGAGGGCTTGATAAAAAAAGGTATTTGTGGAATTTTTGATATTGTAGAATGGAGATATGTGTATACCAAATGCATGTTTGCAGCATAATACAAAGGGCGATATTGTAAACAGAAGTAAGCATTGTGATTTCTAAAATAGCAAAAAGGAAGGCTCCCAATCCTACGTAAAGATTTCGTCGTCCAAACTCTGCATAGTCGGCATATCAGTCTCGCAAATAAACATTTATGTCGGAACAGTTTCGATAGAACGTTTGGGCTACAATCAGGTAAAGATTGAATAAGAATTCATTAGCGTAAATATTTAAAAGGAACTGACGCTGTCTTGTTACACGAAATTTTCCTTTTCCTTTAATGCAAACTGTACTTTCTGAATTACACTCTGACCATTTACCGATACTTATTACTTTATCATTTTCCTTAATATTTCTTGTTCTACCTTCACACCTCATTTTCAAAAAAGTAGCTGGACTGACTTTCAATACGATATTGAGAACACTATTCAGTTTCCTCATAATATTCAACATGGTATTGACAATTACCTCTCTTATTTCTAGAATTCATAATTCATTTTACTCTAATACATGCTTTATACTTAAATTTCTTGGCTTTTTAATGTCAAAACTCTCATTCCTCTCCTTCAAAGCTCTTCCTCCACTGCCCTAAATGGTCCTAAAAAACTTTAGTTACTAGGTTCTCACTTTCAGTTCTTTTATTTCTAATCCAATACATAATACTCAACTTCACAATCATATTACTCATTTCTTTTCCCTTCCTAGTTATAACGTTCCACAACTTATTCCTTTTATACCCCTACAGAAGTTCATATTATTACAAAAAAATCAACATTCGCATATCAACTGTATTTGTTTTAATTACTAATAAATCATTAAAGGTTTTAAGTAATAAATCCATTGCTGCCTTGACTAATATTTTGAATTAGTTTCTTCGTTTTCACTATTTTCATAGTATTTGGAAATTATAGATAATCATTCCTATTTGTAAACCAAAAAGGTCAAAGATTTCCTTCAAATTATGGACTTATTAGTTTATTTTCTTCAGTATCAAAAAATTAGGAAGCTATATTACTTCACTGACTATATACATTCACTTCTCCAAATAACATTATTCAACCCTCACATTTATTCATTGTTCATTTGGATTTTCGAACAAACATTCGACTCTTCATCAGTCATTGTGTATTACTGAACCATTGAACATTCTTTTCATTTGAACAATACTCATTTGTAATCCTTTTGATATAGAAAAGGCATTTGACAAAATTTTGGCATGATGGTTTAATATATAAACTGCATCTTGTATGTATTCCTATTTATCTTATGACTTTTATTTCAAATCTCCTATCCTCTTAACATATTATTACACCATATATTGCAAAAAATAAACTAATCTAGTGTAACTTATTTTCAGTTATAGAAGAACGATTTCGTTCAATTTATATCATATCAACATCTCACCATTGGTTTTCATTCGTTTTCCATTTGGCTTAACGGAACAGTTCTTAGGCTTCTTAAACTTAACTTCGTTACTTGCCACTTACACCACAGTTGAATAAATATTACAAAAATAAAAAAAATAGTAATTCTGCGGTATGACTTTCCTGAATTTATATTTTATGAGCAATTTAAAGTTTTGCTTATAAATGCCGCACAGCTTTCATTTCTATAATCACTATGAACATCGGTGAGAATTCCTTACGTAATTACATGTACTCACCTCATACGACAATAATGCCACTGTTTTCACTTGCAACAAAACACGAAGTCAGATGCGTCAGTTTGATAGTACGTTTACCAACTGTATTTGCTGGACATAATGTGTACATCGAAACAAGTTTCTTCTATCGAAAAACATTAAATAATTGTTTATTTACATCATATATATTGAATAATGAATTATATTAAAATTCAGTTAATCTCCAATTTCACCCCGAAATCAGTTGAAATCTAACATTGTCTCGCAGAGAAAAAAGCGATGAGGAAACATTCACGGAATAAGGAAGTGCACTGAAGTGCAATAAACCAATACTAATACTAAGTATTAGTAGGTTTTGAATTAACCCTTTTCGTTGCAGTTCCATGGATGAATATAGAATAGGAGGGGAAACTCGTGTGGCACCATCTACAATTAGGAGCAGGAGATAATCGACAACACTGTACTCTGTGGCCAGAATGGGTACTTCTTGAGCTTTTTTGAAGCAGCTGGCTCAGGTGCGCGTACTCAATATACTTTTTTTACATCCAATGTAAATAATAACCTACATAATGGGTGGTTGGGATAAAAAGTAAGCAAATACTTCCACTGATAATTCTAAGTAAAAGCTTTGTTTTATTTGAATAAAAAGTAAAAGCTAATACTTATTAGCAAACGCATTTTCTAGTACATAGATAAAGCTAATTTTGTCAGAAAATGTTTGAAAAGGAGTAAATAAAGATCAACTAAATCTTTGTTTTCGAAGCAAAAGCTGATAATTTTTCCAGTGTGCCAGTCCAGTGTCTTGGCATTTGTGAAGTGTTTGTTTTTATTTTTTAAATGGCTACTTTTATGCATATTCGTTCTCGCAAACGTTACTCCAAGCGAATGCAATGTAGCGAAAGTGATTACTTTTCATTATATGCGTTTAATCCAGACATTTTGCTCGGGTAGCTACTTATTGCATGGGCGTGTCACACGAAACGGGAGTTGGAGCGTCATCGCCCATTCAGAAGATGTGGGTATTTCTTCGCATTGCTAGAGATCCTGGATGCCAAGAATCTGTAGTAAGAGAAGAAGGCGTACACCGAACAAGTGTTCGCAAAACTGTGACATTTGTAATGAATAAAATTCTAGAGAAAGCGCATGAATGGATTAAGTTTCCAAGGAGCATGGGCCATGCTCGGGTACTGTGTGCAGATCGATATTCCCTTCCCATTGGCGCTGTAGATTGCTCTCACGTCCCAATAAATAAACCTCTTTATCACGGCGATGAATACGTAAATTGCAAGAATTTTGCAAGCATGCATATTCAAGCTACATTCAATGCGATGTTTACTAGTGTAATGCTCAGTGACCTGGTACCCGGATCTGTTGAGTCGAATACTCAAAAGATCTTACCTTTATGGATTTATGAACAAACAGAAAAGTGACGTGGTTTTACTTAGAGACATCGGATACGTCCTAACTTCATTAACGTACACCGAACAGAAATCCTTCAACACCCGAGCATACCAATAAAATTCGCCGCAGAACAAAATATGTGATTGTTATGTAGTTCATCGTTCTGATGACAATAGTGAAAGCCATTTTTGCTGTTACCTTAACTTTCTTCTAGAAACGCAATTTTATCTGCAATCGGTTGCGTTATTTATGTTGTCGCGGTGCTTATCACATTCTGATTTTTAGAAATATTATTGCCTAGTGTTCTGGTTAGGGATGAGAGGGTGAGATAAGTACTTGGGGTAGGAAAAAGGAAGTTCCACTCTCGTCAGTCAATCTGTAGAGAGATCACACAGTATCTATTCTTGGAGTGTGTAAATCCACTAATGCGAAGAATATTGTTTGTGCAAGTTCTAATGTTTCGTATACTCTAGTATGTCACAGAAGAACAGAAAGAGTTAGAAGTAACACTTAAGCAGATTATTCCAATATACATTTTAGGCAGCAAACTCGTACTCCAGCATTTTTGTGGTAGTGGAAGAGTTCGTAGTGCACTTCAATTTCATTGACGAAAGAGCTAAGATAAGCCATATCTGTTGGAGAGAATACTTTTCTGTGTTCATTGGATGGTCTAATATTTATTTCGCATTTTGCAGGACATTTTTCTCATGTGATTCACATTTTCCATGTGTGAGAGCGTCTTCAGTGTCGTCTACGCTCATAACACGTACGATATCGAGTGGTGTTTTCTTTCCTGCACGAAATGGTTTTACCTTACAAAGTTAATACCTTTTAGCAAATGTTCTGTTTATTTTATATTCCAACCTCAAGAATAAAAGAAAATGCATATTAGTTTACAAAATATTTTTATTATAGCCATTACATCTCTAATATGAACAAAACACAACTACAATGAACAAAATACAACATTGACACTTCTACCATTATGCAAAATGAAGACATAATAAAATTACTATTCGCGAAATAAAAAGATATATCCCCTTTAAAACCATAAATAATTCAAGAACCCTCTTCTGTAAAAATAAGAAAGGCAATAACGATTCTTGCTTTTCAGACTTCTGCTCTTAGTTTTTCACAAACTGCTACTGCTCATTCTTCGTAAACGGAGACAGAAGGTGTAATGGTACCGGAAATATGACGGCAGACCGTCTGTCTGCAGAAATTGTGTTCAGGGTTTGCAGGTAACGAAGCTGGAAAATCACCATTTGCGAAATTACTGTGACTTCTAGATATGAAAAAAGATAAACCGTAAATCACAGAGTTTTCATCTTATGTATCTGCATTCTCAACCTCTACAAAGGTTATAGCATAGACTAAGGAGATACAAGTTCATCATTACTCTATGGTTATAGCCTCGACTAGTCCTCCTCATAGTTACCCCATTATCATTGCCGCTGTTTGATGCACATGTTTTTCATAAAAGTCTATTATTCCGTGAGCTTGTCTTATTTGTGTTATTACTATTCTTCTCATCGTTTTACTGTGAAGTGAACTCGTCTAAAACTCGTTCATGAGAGTATAATCGACCTGTAATATTTTACAATTCTGACGCATTCGTAACCTATGTCACATGATGTGGTTTGTGACTTTTTGCTGCAATGCTGGGAGATTCTGTGTTATACTACTCTTGTTCTTGTATAACTTTCGTTTCCATCGCATGTAAGTTTATCTCAAAATAATAACGACCTCTACCATTGTCCTTTTATTATCCATGCATGTTTGAATTAATGTGGATTAATTGATAATTTATAAATGTTTGGCTCGATGTCTACGTATAATCGTCACTGAACTGGAATAGATATTTCAAGTGATATATGATCCCTTTGCTAGCGGGCATCTATCACCACCCAAAATATTTGTTTTTATATTTTCTCTCTTTTGCGGTTTTCTAATGGTATAACGGTAATATAACTTTTAAGAATAATTAAGAAGAATAAAACCTCGTTCTGTTTAGTAATTTTTGTTGAAAAATTTGGAGCCGTTTTTAAGAAAATGCCTTTTAAGCCTTACTGTAAATGGATAAGCAGTTTTCGACACACAAAACGTTTGAGTATTCGAAAACTTCATAGAAAGTCATTTGATGACTGTCATTCACTAATGCAATAATGAATACAAATCGCTGTACATCTGTTAAAAAATACTTTTGTGTAATTTTCGAAGGAAAAATACAGCATAATCAATTTTATGCCATCTTAAATTATGCTATTAGCACTATCTGCTCAAAAAGTTTGAAGAAACAATTAGCAGTCGTTTTTTAGAAAATGGCATTTTAGCGTTTCTGAGACTGCGGAATTTTGATTTCGTCTTCCCAGAAAACTGATGTTTCCTGTTGAGAACCTTTATAAGGCATCATTTAAAGTACATGTACTATTAAATGCAATAATCTAAACTAATCTCCGCCAAAGTAAATATCAACGACGTGAGAGACAAAAAAATTACATTTTTGTAACATTTGAAAAACCAAGAGAATAGAGCAATATGACGTTTATGTCGTATAAGAGAGTACATTTAGCACTATCCGTAATAAAAGTTTGAAGAAAAATTGTTTGCGCCGTTTTCGAGAAAATCTTGTTTTTGTTATTTTTTAATATTGCACATATCGCTCCCAATATTGTGCGAAAACTCCTTAAATTTTCAAAAAATGTTCATGACATTAATGAAAGAACTATAGATGTAGCAAAAACTACATAAAAGAAAAATCTCTATTTTCAATTTTGTATTTGTAGAGAACGCCGAAACAAATTCATATTTTACAATTTCCGGAAATTCTGAGTTAACAGTGAAATTGAGGAGCTGAATCTTTATAAGTGTATTTACTCTATTATTTGAAGACATTTAAAGAAAAAATTTGGAGCAATTTTTTAGAATATTTTGAAAATGTTCCATGATTTTTGCGTAAAGTCCCCCATGAAATTAATTAATGTTTTTCCAATTCGCAGGTCTTCGATTCAGGTCAGATCGACAGGAGTTTAATCTGTTTGGAATAAATCGGACGCATAGTTTAGGCGCAAGTGATGACCACATACACCGGACGGACGTTTTGCCGTCAATTGCGTTTTCCGTATCAAGAAACTACAAAAAATGAATTCTGGCTGAAGACACCACTTGTTAGAGGATTTTTTTCTAAACTTCACAACTGGATTGATCCACTTTATCGTCATCAGAGCTCGGCAATAAGAGAGAGTTTTTCTGCAGAACTATTTAACTTTCTCTCTATTGCGTAAGCAGTAGCGAGAAAGTAATAAAATAACCCCCTCCCCGCTCATTGCACAAACAATTAAGAGCCTACCCCGGCTGAAATTGTCTATGTAGCCTTGTAGAGTGCCTCCAGGACTGCAGCCTGTTCAGCTCTGTGGAATCGCAGCCCTTCCTTCTCCTCGCCACGGTGACGCTGTGCGCAAGCGTGCTCTGAGCGCGAACGAGCCCTGTTTGATTTAGTTTATTGCAGTGCTGTACGGGAGTGTTTTATTTGTTGTGAGCATGCTCTTTGTTGGAAAATCATTTTCTTAAGAGTTTTTTTTCTGCTTCTGCAGACCATTAGTTCATTACCGAGCGTACTATGTCTTTGAAGAGGCCGCTTCAACGTTTAAGTGTACCTGGAGCGATGCGGGGTTGTCCGCCATCACCTCGGACGCCTCCTTGAGAGATCGAGCGGCCTTGAGTTCGCCTTCGGCAGAGATGACTTTCGCGCGGGCTTCCCTCGTGGCTTCGGCCTCAGCGGCCATCGCCCGCTGCATGCTGCGCGGCAGCATGACGTCTTTTCTGCCAGACAATCCACAAACGCGAGTGAGGAGTCGGAACTGGGGGAAAGTTAACACTCACACGATTTTCGAAATTATTTTATTAATTACTGAGGAGTTAAAATTTTATTTGATTTCTTTTTAGTTAAAAGAAATTTCATCTACAAATGAAATCATACAAAAATTGAATATCGGTAGTGATTTGCAAGGCCATTTTCTGTTAAACAACAACTCTCTGAAGGAACATCTTGTCAAAGGATCTCTCCGTGGGAGCGATGCGAACTGGCCAGAGGAACGTGTGGTCGAAGGCTTCCGCAGGACACGAAGTGGTTTTGGCCGTTCGCGTGACGCCGCGTCCAAGGCTCCTACGCTGACGTTTTGATCGTTTTTTTGTGGTCTTCCTCTGACCTCTAATACATTTCAGCCCTGAGAAAGGCCATGGAAAATGGTCAAATGTCGCATCTCAGCCTATGACACGACGTCACCCGGACAGCCAAGATTATTCGCTGCTCAGAGCACAACCACCAGAATTGAATTGGTGATTTGAAAAGGGAAATAACATTCACAAATTTAAAAGTAAAATCTTTTCTGTTGCATAACTGTTTCTATACAAATGAAGATGTATTGATCATCGAAAAGAAAATTAATTATTATTTTACAAAACAGTGATATAAAATGAATTAGTTTACATTTCTATTGTATATTTTTTTAAAGACTCATTATGATTGTAAAAAAATGGACTTCAGCTTCCGGGTCAATGACCCCCATTTGGTTCAGGTTCTTGTCCAGTTTCCCTGTCCATTGAGCAAATGCTGAGATGAGCCCTTGTCTTGCTTCTGGTCGTAAATGTAGCCTCACTATGCGCACGTTTTGTTGAACTCTCCTTTTGCTTGTAGCGGTGGAAGTAGAGGTAAGAGAGAGTTGCTGTTTTGTTAGCAATGCAGAAAAATAAAATCTGCAGTTCGTTGCAAATAAGTTTTCTATAACTCAGAAACGAAAATGTCTATTTTTTTAAATGTTGCTAATTTCTCGCTTTTTTATATTTTATTTTTTATTATCTTTAACTTTTACTTATCTTTGAACTATTTACAGTTAAAATGATGGGAAGGGATTCTGGACCTCAAGAAAACGTACGCATGTTATCTTTTCCCCCATACGTCACATACAGCTTTTACGGTTTTTGACTAAATAAATGCAAATCTTATAGGGTCAGTCATTATCAAAGGTTGATCGTTACGTGCATGTGTCTGGTCTGCCCTTTGATCTAGGTTATGTATGGGGAAGTTACAGAATGTCTGGGGCGTGTTGTTTCCATATATGTCGGGGTGCGTTTCGTAGGATGTAATGGGAGGTAGGACAAGATTTCGGCAAAATAAAAATTAGAATTAAAATGGAAGTATATTCTAGGACTATTAATTGAGGGAGTAGGTATGGGATACGTAGTCGGATGGCGATAGCTCTACCGCCTTCGAGAAGAAGGTTCTGTCGTTTCGGTGGATTATGTAGTTCTGTAAGGTAAAAGATTGGTAGCAGTCAGCATGGTTTCTTGAAGTAATAGGATCCTGATGGAGTAATCTTTGAGGAATTGAGTAAGGATGTTTTTTTGTGGGTCATGGTACCACGTGCATTTCCACGATGAAAGGGTTAGGATTCTGGATAACGGAGCCAATAATTAAGGATTTCAACAAGTTTCAGACCGAAGGTGGTAAGTTTAATGAGGGTGTCTTTTGGGCCTTTAAGAATGTCTATGAAGGCATGTATAAGGGGGAGACTATTCATGAAGGTAGGAGATTGAAGGATGACAAAGATGTCTTGAAGGTCTTGCTTTTGTTGTTGGTTGGTTTGATTGGTGGACGTTGCTGAAGAACATGATACATTTTGAGTTGGGGGTGGAAGAAAGGATTGAGAAGACACTGTGAACTCACGTCGAGAGTGATTTTTTTGTAGTTGCTGTTGGCTGATAGTTCTTGCTCGAGTGAGATATGGGCAGGAGGCAGGGTGGTTGAAGGAGCAGTTGCAACAATTGGAGGGGGGGATAAAATTAGGTTTCGTGTTAGGGAGGGGCATTGTTCAGTGGGATGGTGGTTAGCACAAAGGGCACAAGGCACTGTTCGTGTACAGTACGTCGTTGTGGAATAAGAGTTTCAGGTCGCAGCATTTGCACTGAATTCAGGATGCGTCATTCAGTTTCCCTGTCTACCAGAGTTTAGTGAACAGGGACTAGCTATTCAATTTTCGTCCTTGGAGATCTTCGTAAATTGTGGCACGCCCTTCAAGACAGATGGATAAATATTCTCTGATGCGTGGTCAGTCCATGAAGTGATTATAGAGATGTGGCGCTTCCTCTCGTAGCAAAGCTGGAAGAGCCAGCCCTCTAGCTCCCAACCTCTCGATACACGAGCTCAAGTTAGGCTAATCCACGTGGAATTTGCGGGTATATATTGCGTAGTATTTTCGCATGTTTCTATTTCCTGTGTCTTCACAATCCACGATTGCTCTGTCCCGCATCATAATTTATGTAATCCTAATTGTTATTCTTCAATAGGTAGATAAATTCACAATAATTTCCAAGAGTAGTATGGGTTGCACTGATGCTGGAACGCCATTTCGATACTGTTTTCAAGAGAAAAAATAGTGTTTTAACTTTATATTTGGCTTATAATGTAAAATGAACTAAGCGTCCCATTTCTGAAAAATTCGAGTGCACCCCTAGAACGTCCTGCTGGAGACACGTGAGCCACTAGTTTTGTAATGGATGAACGTCCAACGTATCCAACAGACGTGCAGAACAGAACATCAGTGCGCGGCCCCGTCCTACGTTGAGACACAGCCGTGTTGTCATCTCCTTCGTCTTCAGAATTCTGTTGAAACTTATGGGACAAAATCAGTGAAACAACAATTAATAAAGGAAATGCCATACCCTTTTCATGCAGCGATTAGCTATTGTTATTTTGTCCACTCGTTTATGACATAAACGTACGATCTTTTTGAGTTATAAGATTTAGATTCAGTTGTCACTATGATAAAATGTTTGTTGACGAGGATATGTATGTAAAAAGCAAAGACATGTTTATAAGAACCGCTATATGTTTATTAACTTAATTTTTCTTCCTGGGTCTTTTCCAGCTTCAGGAAAAGACGATTCGGACTATCCGCTCCGGGTAATCACTATTATGTTCCTCGTGGGGACACACATTAAAGATTGCACTAGACACTTGACACATTTGCGGGCTCCGCGGTCTCCGTGATGAAAATATGTTTTGTTCCAAAATATTTATAAGATACAAATATAAATATAAATAATAGGTCAAATTCATGTCATTGACATGTTCGTTGACGGTACAAAAACTACTCACATTTCTACTCTCTCCACTTTGATTCCCCAAGGGTCTGTTGCCGCAATCAAAGTTGTCTGCAGGATGTTTGCAATTGACTCTCGATTAGCAAGAATATCGGACAAGTTTTGAGTCCCTAGCACATTTCGAAGAAATGTTGCGGCCAAGAAGTTGGTTGCATTTCTGAAATTATCAATGGAAAATTTATTAGCAGAAACGGAGTTTGTAATACTAATTTACAATTCATATATTGCAAGTGATCTAAGAAAAGCAATGTTATAATATGAATTAGGAAATAATGTAACCACAACAATTCAAAGGTTTCATACTCGTATTTATTAAAACATTAACATTAAACATTAAAATAGTACCCAAAGACAACCTTCGGAAATACTTTCCCATCATTTCAGTCTGTGAACAACACTAGCACAAAAGCGTTCATTGCATTTTCCACCAAATGAAAGTTAGGCACTTAACATGAAGCCCGTGGGGCACTTTAATTTTTACAAAAACGACTCAATTTTTTTTCTTTATATTTCTTTTAACAATGGATAATATTACACTTATAAAGATGACGTATGTCCGATTTCCACTATTAATTCAGAATTTTGTAGAATAGCAAAAGACTCAAATGTATTGAACCCACTCGAACAAATACATTATTGAAGATATACATTTTTTTCAAAAAACTCTCTACAGTTAGAATTTAATTAATATATTGAACTCTTGGTTGCAAATATTATTAATTTTCGCGCAATATTGACTATAATATGGCAATGTTAAAAACCAGCTCCAATTTTTTTCTTTTAACACTTGGTACTAAATGTTTGTACTAAATTCATTTAGTAACTCTACATAAACACCTTTTTGATATATTATTTTGATTTTCCAATAATTCAACGTTTGTTGTTTTTTGTAATATTTCTCCCTGTTAAAATTTATATTACAGTTATTTTTAATTTTGTTCATACGTTTATACTCGCACTTACAAGCATGTACAATCGGACCATGCACAAGCTCTGAGCACGCTTGCACGCGACAGGACACGCCATGTCTGAGCTGAGGGGAAGAAGATTCTCTACTTCACATGGCTGCGCTTTACGTAGCTTGAGGATTCTCAAGAAAACAATTTTGCCCTGATTCCTTAAAACTTACATTAAAAAAATTTCGAAAGATGTTTCCCGAAAGTTTTTCATTTCAAATTTTGATTGAAAATGTTGCCAAATATGTTTTATGTAGACTTCTTATTCCTAACGTTATTGAGCTTAAATGCAATAAAATGTAAAACTACGTTTTTAGACGTGGAAGGGGATGGAAACAATTTGTATTTTTTATATGCGATCAGATTTTTTTGTTCAAAACTCTTATTTGATGTAGTTTTATTTTGCAATTTTACATTTATCAGGCCACTTCTTTTTGCGAGAGAAACAATGCTTGAACAACTAACATTTTTTTTGTTTTCTTTATAATTGACGGTAAAGCTTCACATAACTGTAGAGTCATTTGAATGCCCCTTCATCGGGTAGCCTTTTTATAAATTTTCATTAAATGTTTGTAAACTGTAACTTCTGGTTCCATTCCGAATATTTGTATAATGGTTTTTATGTGAAGTTAAGTAACTTCTTGTGTACCTAGTCAAAAATGTCTTCGCTATTTATGTTGATTCTGAAACAAGACACAAATTTAAAATAAAAATGTATGGTGTACAAACCTGTAGTCATTGACGCAAACTATCGCCTTCAGAGGGTTCTCTACCCGATAGTATACTACAGCATCTACTTCCACTGTCACCGAGTCACGTGTCAGGATCTAGAATCATTCGCGGTTTTGCTGGACAACAAAAAACATGTATCGCAGGGTCTCCTGCCTTCATTAGCGTGATCTACAAATTATAACATTGCGTTGAAAATAACAGTAATAATAATAATAATAATAATAATAATAATAATAATAATAATAATAATAATAATAATAATGTTTCTGAATCAATGTTACGAAGTTTCAGTATGTCTAGAAAGGATAAAGATGACTTTTGTTTTTGGCAATGAGCCTGTAGTGGAAAACCTCGTATAACGAAGTTATAGACGAAACATTTGCCCCTAATTGGTAGGCAACTGTTCTTGCATTGGTGTTATGGATGTACACTACATGAAATGACGTTGCCGAATACTTGTGTTCGACAAGTTGCATACGAATCTGGAGAAATGTCATGATGTATCTCTGTCACATTCTGCTTCCCACCACTTTCATTGCCCCAAAGTGACCATCTCTGACCCTCCTACATACACTGTTGATTATTTCAGGTTTCTCGGGGTGACAACAGCTATGGCCCTTGGTCCCTGTCTTCTATGGTAGTACATTTTCTACCATGGGAAGTGGCGGCGATCTTCCCCGGCTGGAGAGGGGGGTTCGGAGATCGGCTAGCGGACTTCTCTCCATCCAGGTATCTCCCTCCAGCGGGGCACCGCCTCCGCCGGAGTAAGCTCTAAGCTACTGCCTCGTGTCCCGTTGTGTGTGCTGTGTAACTAAGGAGTGAAGGAGGTCTAGGGACGAAATGATTGTGCGCGGTCCATGGCCCATCTATTAGCGTACTCATTCACCATTCGCCTGGTTTTGATCGGATAAACCACGGAAAACTACATATCAGAGTTGCCAGTACCCAGAATTCTCCTCCAGATAGCGCCTGAAATTGACCTAGCGTTCTACGTAGTTAGGGCAGAAAACTGCTACTTAGGGACTCGGGTCAGAGGCCCTGCAGTGACATTAACCGATGCCCAGAGCTACCTCATCTGGTCTGAGACGTGTTATTGTGGACAGAAATATAGGTATTACAATTTTAATTAACTACTGACGAGAAACTACGAGCTGTTGTAAGCACCACTCGTTTAGTCGCATCACGGTCATCAGAAGTTTCTAGTAGCTTTGATCTGACTTAACTCTGTGGGTTTACCCCCAGGAATTACGTTCGTTAGATAATCACAAAAATTCTCCAATGAAAATTAGAAAATTGTGGAAGCGGAAGAAAATTTTTCAGCCACCCGTACTCACGGCGGCGCACTAGTTTAACATTATCGTGCTTCGAAACAACCATTTTGATAAAATTATTTTCATTGTTGGCAAACTAAAAGCATGACGAAATGTTTAGGGATTTTGAGACTTTCTCTGTGAAGCCGTTTTTTTGACGTGGCAAACATCGAATTCTATTTCAGCACCTTCAAAAAAATAGAACGGTTGGGAAAATAACTTTCGGAATTTTGTTCTAGATTGGCTCCTTTTGAACATCAATTGACTGGACTATTAGATATTAAAAATCTCTTTGAGACGAAGAATGCGAAATTGGAATCAAAAAGATAAAAATATGACCAAAAACGAAATATTATGAGAAAATTTTGACCGTAATATAAAATACAATTATAAACTATTAACGAAAAAAACAAAAGCTTAAAAGATGCCAAAATATGACTGTACAAGACACCTGAAAATTGCGTAATATTAGTTATTATTGTTAAAATCGTGCTTAACTTACATTTTATATGAAAATAACACAAAGAAAAAAATATGACAGGTCATAAACATCCGGGTCCTAACTTTCGTAATGCTCCCCAAGCACTTTAAATTGAAAATTGTGATAATTTTCTAACTGAATTAAAAAAAACACTTACTTCTTGTGGTGGAACATTAAAGGTAAGTAGACGCAAGTCCACTTTACGAATGTTGTCAGTGCAAGGAATAATAAATATGAATCCAGGACCCTGTGCTCCACCACGTAATCGACCTAGTCGAAATATTACTGCTCTTTCATAATGTTTCACCACCTGCAAGGAACAAAGGCAGTAATTTTTCTCAAAATAAATAATTCCCAAAAGTCAAATGTGGAAAATAAAATTCCATCTTGAATTTCAAGTTTGGAAACGTTTTTCTTCTTCTGTTATTTTCACTTTAAGTATCAAAGTTTCACGTTTCTTTTAACCTTCTAATGAATTTGATTTTTGGGTTTACAGACTCGTCACAAAGAAATAAGAGAGTGTAGAGAGTTTGTTTGACGTATATCACACCGAATCTCACATCTACTATCGTATTTCGTAAGTGCAACTTTCAGTTTGCACTTACAAATTCTCGATTTCGTTACCCAGAGAAATGTTTCATTATATCCAAGATGAGATTGGAACTCGTGACCCTTACCACTGAAATAGTAGGTCGCAGTTGGACTCAGCTAGCGGCATCGTCTAATAACATTCACAAGTAATTCAATAGGTGGCGTCTGTCTCAAGGTACGCACAAGAGGAACCTCTCAAACTCTCTCACCCAATTCCATTCTCAACCTCCTCAATAAGTCGGTCAACTTTCCAAAGATGAGGTAAAAATTCCCTTCGACATAATATCTTGATAAATAGATGTGAAATGGATGCCTTAAGAAGACAATTCGATAATAATTTCAGCGCATACTTTAAAAAATGACAGCTCATCAGCTTGGCTAATACCCAAAAGGATCTAACTTTGAAATTTTGTGATAAGTCGAGTTGTATATGTTTTGAATACGGTGTTTCCATGTCAATATTTTATTTCTATAAAAAACCTAAATATTTCTTACGATCTACTTTCTTTTATAAAAATAGCAATAGTTTTCAAACACTCCTCAACTTATATTCACGAAGCGCAGTAAATTTGGAGCTAGCGACTTTTTTAAAACATTCAACACTACCCTCTTCGAAGATTTGTTTTTTATGAACACATTTCATTAATAGAAAACATACCTTCACAATTCTAATCGTAGGAAGACGCCAAAATTTAATCAAAACCATTAGCCCTATTTTTTTTAAAAATGTCCCAGGGGCTTCATGTAAAGTACCCCCCACAATTAAAATATCGGTTTCAAATTCAAGGGTCTGTGACAGCAGTCTGATCGATCGGGGAATATCAGTTTTGGAGAAAATTGGCTGAACGATTTAGGCGCTAGCGCTTTTTCACAGACGGACAGAGAGACACGTTTTGCAGTCTATCGATTTTTCGGTATTAAGGACCAAAAACGGGGATTATGGTTGCACCACGTGTTAGAGGATTTTTTCTTAATTTAGCGTCTGGATTTATCCACTCTTTCATTGCCAGGACCCTGTAGCAAGAATGTTTCTGCCGAAAATTCGCTGTTTTTCGCGCAGCGTTGCATGACTTTCTCTTCTTAAGAAGTTCCTTCTTGAGGAGGTCATTGAACGAAAAGTTGTAATTATGGAACGTGCTTGTTAGAAAACGAATGTCAAGTAAATTATTTATATATTTTAGATCGATTGATAAAAGAGTATTTTTTTAAATAATGTATTAAAAAGTGTTAATTATTTTACAAATGCAAGCTAAGAAGCTAATTTGACTCGAAAGGCCAAGATAAAATACTGAACATACTGGAATAATGTACGTTTAGGTATTCTCGTCAAATTTCAGTTAGCTTATAAGTAGAACATTTCTTACATATTATGTAAATGTTTTTTCAAGAATAATGTATTTTGATAGCAATTAACTCCTTGAGAGAACTGATAACTTTCAGGCAATAAACTTGGCAACGCTTTACATTTATCATATTGGTTGGTTGGGGGTGTGGTTTACGTTGTCGGGAACCAAGAGTGTGGGCCGGGAAGGTCTGGAACGTACACAACAGCTAGAAACAGTGCACGTGTACTGTTTCTGTAGGTCTTATAACCTGAAAATTATGAGCGAAAAGTTAAGATATGAAGGGCGATTTGTTACAAAACACAAGTTAAAGTAATACAAATCACATATTTCAGTTGTTTAAAGAAGGTAAATTATCTGTAAGTTTTCTAATGTTTTCTTACTTGAAGGAGATCTAGGTATAAAGATAAATATAAATTTATTTAAACTGCAATTGGGTATAACACGGTGACAGCTAATTACATAAATAACATAATATAACATCCAAATATATAATAATAATAATAATAATAATAATAATAATAATAATAATAATAATAATAATAATAATAATATAAAATATGACTGATTCATAACACATTAAATTACCTTAATAAAAAAACTTCTTTAATCTAATTCCGGAATTTATGTTTGTTCAATTAAGATCATACTGCACTGACACTGCACAGCATTTCACTTCATTTTACTTCACTTCACTATGCCCCTTAAATCATTTCCTTCATTATTTCTCTGCTCTACACTGCACGACACCTCACTTCACAATATATCATTTATGAATCGCTCTGTACCCTACTTTTCTCAATTACGTCCCGCATTTACTTAGTAATTCCCAAAATTACTTTCCTAAACTAGGAAAGGCTTCAATAGTTTTTGCAGGCGATTTTCCATTCCGTTATCGTTCGATTTGTGAAAGAAAATTTCCCAACATCCGTTCTCTGCGGTCTTAAATTCATTTTGTGTCTGTGATTACCCCTACTGATGTATGAGGAATACTCAGCCGCCGATTAATTTCTTTCCAAGCTGGATAAGCCCTATAAGCTTTATACAAAGTGCAGAGTCTTGGTAATGATAGCCTGTATTCGAGTGAATTCCACCCCGCCTATTTCTTGTCATAAACATATTTTAAAAATCGTAGGATGTATGCCATTTTAATCATCTGAGTTCTGACTTCGGTGCTGTAGGCTACACTCATGTTTTTCTTCAATAAATAAAATCTAACAATACCACACCATATTAATCATTTCCCTCACTGCTACATGGGAGATCCAAGGTAATTTGCAAACCGTGAAGTTAAATCCTACATTAGACTACATATGAGGTTAGGGTAAGGGTCCGAAAGGCAATGGAGGATCATCCACATACACCATTAAAACATTTTACAATCATTTATCATAAATTACCCCGCATACGTATGTCTGCTCACACAGCAATGCCCACAAATCAGCTTTGCTCAGTTTCACAATATTTAAAATTCCCGACGAGTTTTACGACATGCAACGTTGCGCGCTTTTTCGTTCTTACGAAAAACTGATGACAGTTATTTTATTTTTGTGTTCTTGTTCAAACTACACGGTAAAATATTTTCATTCCAAGTCTTTTCTCTTTAGAAAGTTTTAATCTACGTTTATAACATTTCCACCTCATTTAATCTTATACAGAAGTAATTCAAGTTTAATTATTTGTGGTCAGATAAGATCCTTTTCCTATACGTTGCCTATAAGTTTTCAAATGTGATTATCTTTTAAACTACACGGTAGAATTGCTTCACGCTTTGGGAAAGCGTGCACAAACATCTAATCTTTTCATAAGTTTCAGTCGAAACATTCTATCTTATTTTTGACGTAACGTGACGACTTCCTTCGGCGCCAGAAAGTAAAAATCAACATCAAACTCAATCTAATGATAATGGACGCTTGTGTATTGCCAGTCTTAATTTACGGATCGCAAACATGGTCATTAATAATATCACAAAAAAGTATGCTGCAAATATGTCAACGCAATATGGAAAGCAAAATACTGTGTATTTCACTAAGATGTAGAATAACGTGTACGAAAAATTGGAGAAAACAAAAATAAAAGATGCAGTTCAATAAGCCCAAATTCTCAAGTGTAGATGGGGTGGTCATATTATGAGACAAGTTCAATAAAGTTGGACATACTCCTTGACAACCTGGGACCCCAGAACTTGGAGAAAAATAGGTAGACAAAGAAGAAGATGAACAAATGTTCTACAAAAATTAACAAACAACAGCTTGTCAAGATTATCACTTGACAGAAGTACATGGAGGGAAATGGAAGCTGAACAATATGGAAATCAGAAGATAACTGACAAAGGCAGGTAGACAATGCACAAGAAAGAAGAAGACGAAGTGTACATTGTGAACATAAAAGAATAAACACTTTAAAGTTACATCAAATATAGTAACTATGGAGTAAAACAAAGTGAATAGACTTAATATATAAATAAATATTATTGAATATTAAGTTCCTGTGATTACGTTTGTTTTTATTGTGTCTATGTTCATACTGTTTAGCTTATACTATACTCTTACGATTATGTATTATACAAATAACAATGTGTGCCAACCTCACATTCCATGTAAAAGAGGCCTTCGCCATTAATGGGATCCTAAAGGCTAAAATAAAAAATAAATTTAAAAATATCACTGTAAATGTAATCAAGTACCAGCTGAACTATTCTAAGTCATTTTCCTTACCATCAAGCAGATGAAGATGGACAAAGGGAAAGTCACGGTAATGAGAAAAATTGATACGATGATCACGAGCTTCTCAATATTCTTCATTGTTTCCTGGTCCTCAGTAACAGTAGAATTTTATTTAATTCCAATGGAATGAGCAAATCAAATGACCTTAAATCATTTGAATTGAATCTGAGAATCTGACGTAAGACATAATTATCTTTTGTGTTGCATGTATCAACTGACGATACAACTTTTAACATGAAAAGCATCAACTGCGTTTCTCAATGTAAGAACGTGTGATGTGACCATTTTATAAAAAAATATTCTGGTAGTAAAGCGTTGAATGTAGAAGCCTTCATATAATATCTTCAGGAAAGTTTCACTTGGTCAGTTGGTACTGTCATGTTAATGTTGGCTTGCATGGAAAAAAGGTTGGTTGTTGTGACAAAATGGCTGACTAGCGATTTGAAGTTTTCTCCTTCAACGAAAAATAACCTGAACTTGTCAAGAAAGTGGAAATTTTGCTTGTATAAATGGAAGGAGCATGGTTAGGAACAGTGGAAAGGACTATTTCAGTTGAAAATGAAACAATTTCCATGCAAAATGTACTATTGAGGTGAGGGGCAGAATGTGGGTGGTTTTGCATATTGTACAAAAAACTGCGTGTTCTTGGATTTAAAGGAAACTAATCTTAAATACAATTATTTGCAAAGAATATTTATAAAAATATTAATAATATTCATTTAGAATTATTATTATGTATTTTAATGTAATAACTTATAAAAAACAAAGCCTGTATTCCATTGCAAATGTCAGGAAATTTCATATATTGTAAAGATTACTGTTTATTGCATTCCCGATTCAATAACAAATGTTGCATATTCAAAAGAATAATTTATAACATCCCACGTTTTTTCATGGAAAAATGTTTTGGTTGAGTAGAACAGTAAATCACATCGAACTTTTTCTATTGAAGGCGCAACAATGCAACACATTTTACAATCAAATTCCAAATTTCTTTCAAATCATAATTTTTTTCAAATTTCAAAAACTCAATGCATGTATTTTGCTTATTTAGAGAATTCTAATAAAGTTATAACACTAAATAATAATTTTTTAATTCATGAAAAGTTGCATAACTACCTCATTCAACTTTCTTCCATGGAGGTACTCAATTATTAATGTGCATTAAAATATAATTAACAATCTTTCCACTAAAGCACAGAAAACATGCACGGAGGGAAGCTACTTGCAGGAATGATACTTGGTGAATATGTCACCAAGTAAACCACCAATAAAATCACCAAAATTAAGTCGGAGTACATAAACTTTTCACTCTCACTCGCCCTATTCTGCCGGCGACATGGTTCGGGGAGAAGAAGTCAGCAATTCAAATAGCTTCAAAAAACAAAAGATCATATTTTTAAAGACAAATTATATTACTTTTAAAAAAACACAAAAAATATTAACTCTCGCCGCCACAAGTTCAATGTTAACGTGTCAGGCTACAGATAGGCCCGTCAGACCCCCAATGTTTTATACCTCAGAGATCTTTTTTTAGATTAATGTCCGCTCTGCTATTTTCTAAAATCGTTTTAATTCAATAAGTTAATTTATAGGTAGAAAGTCGCCCTTACCTCTACTCTTACCATTACAAGCAAAAAGAGAGTTCAACAAAACGTGCGCATAGTGAAGCTATATTTATGTCCAGGAGAAAAACAAGGGGTCATTCCAGCATTTGCTCAATGTATCAGGGAAACGGGACAAAAAACTGATCGAGATGGGGGTCATTGACCCGGAAGCTGAAGTACATTATTTGTTACAAACATACATAGTCTTTTAAAAAATTATACAATACAAATGTAAACTAATTCATTATATATCATTGTTTTGTTAAAATGAACATTATTTTTCTTTTTGATAATCAGTATGGTCTCTAATTGTATAGAAACAATTATGCAGCAGAAAAGAGTTTACTTTAAACTTAAATTTGTGAACCGACTTCGTTGTTCATTGTTGTATGTCAGCTGGCTGTGCGTTGTATATTCTAACCCGTTTAAAATGTTCACTGTTAAGCACAATTGATTGTCTTGATTCTATGTGTTCCTTAAATTTATCTTGCCCCTCAACCATACTCTTTGTTTTACGAACATTAACACTAAAAAATGCAACCATGCTCAATCATTCATTAACCAAAGTTAATTCTCTCTTAATGTAATATTATTCCCCTAATTTTTCATATAGTGTTATTATTTTTATTTGCAATAACATTAAATTGAATATTTGTTTTACTTAACAATTTATATATTGTTTCATTACAGGGTTATGAAATGGCTGATGGCATTTATGACCAAAACCTAGCTTCTTGTCTATGGAGGACATTAACAAAGGGTGTGTGTGCATTACCTGGTGAGTACAGATACCTTGTTTTATGATGTTGGGACAACACTACATATCTTGGATTTCAATAACGCCTCTATTTGTATTACACACGGCTCCCACCCTGCTGAAAAAGAGTGTGCAGAACATGCTAGAAGTTGTGACTCACGGCTGCCGGCAGTGGCGAACTTATACCTGGCCGGCGCCCGTCTCGGCCCATCCGGAACTTGCGCCACGCTTCTAAGCGACTCACGAATAACTCATCCGTTCAGTTCGGGGGGCGCCGGTAGCGCCAGGTCCCTGCAGCGAATTCCGGCAGGTGATGCAATATTCGTTACACTACATTAGTATATACACATTTTTAATTATGAATTTTAAGAAAATTTGTTAATTTGAGAGCTGTAACAGACGTATTCAAGATTCATATCTGTTTTAATTTGCGTATTATAAATTTATTTTTATCAGTAATTTTTGTAAACTTATTTAATATCAATAATATTAAATAGAAAACTTATTTAATGTCAATAATTTTATACACACAAGTTTATATATTGTGTAGATTAATGTATATAGTAGAGGACTTGATTGACTAAATTGTTTTTGTTGATAAGATTGTGGCAAATGAAATTTTCGTTTTCATTTATACAAATTATCAATAATTTTCATTTGTATCAAAACACTTCAGTTACAATTTTGATTACATAAAATTTCACAACCATGAATTGATGGCTGCCATGTTGTTTTGATAATGAGGCATTACTTAAAAAAAATAATGGTCACTAGGTGTATTTTGACTATTTTCTAAATTCATGAATATAATATTAATGTTTTCGGTCCACAGCAAAAAGAGTAGATTTGTAAATATTATTACTTATACTGGTTATGCAAAAATTGTTTATAGTGTGTCTGATGTATTATCTGCGCACGTTTTCTTGAGCCCTCGCTTCGCTAGATTCCAGAGGAGTGGGCAGTTTGGTTATTTTGACAAAAGGAATTTTACGTCGAATTTGTAGTTCATTTTCCCTTTCAAATTGTTTTTAATACACGGGAGCGAACATTCTTCGTCACCATATTTTGTCTACAACTCTTATTGCTATCATTTATTCTAAATGCAACTAATGGGAAAGGAGTAGGGGTACATATTGCGGGGCTCAAGAAAACGTGCGGATATAATACCTGTATGTATATATTGTGTATGTGTGCTTATATGCTCATTATGTACTGTATATTTACATAATTTAGAAATAAATAGTGTATATGAAGTATATTTTTATTTTGCACTTCCATGGCCAAAATTTCCTTTATTTTCTTTGAATTCAAAGCCGTACGAATTATCATCTACATCAAAGAGTATCTATATATCTATTCTACATTGTCTTGCTTATTAGATAATGTAATTTCAAGAGACATTAGAAAAATAGTTATAATTAGAAAAATAAACGTATAGTGCAGCATACGGGGCCTGGACCAAAGAGTGTTTAACCGCACAGTATATGGCTTAAACCTCACTTCAATTTAAACGTAGTGGCATTTCAATAAAACCAACCCGGCGGAGAGGGATATATCGTCTTCTAGTCGGGAGCTTCGTTACTAGTTAAATTGTTGGTATTGGAGTTCCCGATTGGATAAAAAGATTTCCATCTCCCTCCAGCGATGGCCTTTAAGTGCCACTATGTTTAAATTGGTAGACGTACTATTGTTTAATACATAGAGCGGCGTGGAGGTAGCACGCCGGGTGGAGATTAAAAACGCCTTTTGCCAGTACTAAAATCGCACTATGCCGAAATAAAAGTATTATATATCTTGCCAATTCTTGTCATATAAATGGTCAAGCTCCTATGGTTAATATAATGTCACTATGATTTCGAATTACTAGTGAGTCAAATATAATTGTGAAGAGTGAAGTAAGGTATGGCCACTGCCCTTATTGTGACGAAATTCGGGTGTCGGTAAAGTGTCAATTTTTCGCTTGTCACCGATTGTCCACAACTGAAAATGGGTAGGATAGGTAGAATCAAACAGACATAGGCTGAATGAATCACTAGCTGCCGTAACCACTGGCGAAAAGTCGTGTGATTAGGCGGAATTCTGAGAGGTTAATTACTATGAATGTTTATTCACAATTATCAAAATGTTATTTTCATACGTTAATGGTCACCAAATTTGAGGCCCAACTTATAACAATGTCGTATGTTGACATTACACAGATCTGTGGTGTAAGTCATCACTTACATTTTATTTGACAACCTGTCTTCACATTCTAAAGCAGCATCCAGAAATTTGACTTGCAACACATATGTAGTTTAATTTCTAAAGCAGTTGCTGTGAAATGCTTGTGTTAGAATGGTGATCAATTTCCCATGAATTAGGCCAAATGTTTTTGCTAACCAATTTGTGTATTATTTGTTTTCAAGATTGAGATTTTTTTATTTTTACATTGTTATTTGTGATCTGTTTACTGAGACACATAATAGTGATGATTATTATTGATGTGTAATCATATGTTTTATTTCAAGTATAATTTAAACATGTTACACAATTTCTAGGTTATATGCTAGTCAAAAATTCATTTGAAGAAGAAAAATGGAAGAGATTGAGTATAAATTGAAGAAGAAAAATGCGGTTCTTATTGTGAATGTAAGTATTCTCAATTAGTTTTTTACTTTTGTATTTTCTTAATCTGTAATTAATAAATGATTTGCAGACAGTGGCGAAGTTGGTTGATACAATACGCCAGAAGACAAATCCCAATGAAAATGGAGAGAAGGTGAAGTTGAATCTCATTGCTGTTAATATACTATTGAATACTATACATACTATTGAAAGTTCAAATCCCTTGTGTCACTAGTATTGATATTTTTTTGCTTCAGAGCCAAGAATTTAAATACCTCAAACAGAAATGTGAAGATGAAGAGGCACTTGTTAGTGTGACTGCAAGTCAAGGTATTGTTGCACTGGTGGAATTGGGTGTGATACCTTGGGATACTGCTCTTTATGGATTTGTGGCTTCATTGGTTACAGCAAGGTACATCTCTAATTTGAATTATATTTATATTTATAGCATTATAATAAACTGCATGATTGATGATGGTAGATAGGATGTTTAACACAGTTGTATGTAGGCTATATACATTTATGAACTTTGCTCATTGAGATGATCAAGCCTGTCAATTTTTGTAGCTAACGTACAAATAAGACTACAGTATTCTTTATTCTTAAGAATGTTGTGATGAAGTGTTTTGTAATTTTCAGCATAAAAGTTTTTTTTACCAATAAAAGAAATAGTGTGTCTTGAGAAGTGTAACCAGTTCTCAGCTAAAACTGTTCAGTTTGAATGTTCTTGTGTGAAACATTCACTTATTGAATTCCACTGGAAGAAGATTCTGGCTATGACATTGTTCTTTTGAATTTAAATAAATGTAATTGTTAGTATATAAACTTTTCTATGTAACAAAAACTTTTGTAATGGCTATTCTTTTTATTAAAGATTTTATTTGTTAATAATTGTTCATAATTTAATTTAAAAATTTAATAAAATAATTTTCTATACTAAGATGAAGGGAATTTAACCTGTCAATGGAGATTTTGTGGATCTACTACTGATTGCACCAGAATATAGGTCATATTTTGTTTCTTAAATGACAAAACTGGATTTATTACAGGAATTATACTGGAATTATTACTTCAATTGGCCAACTGCTAGTTATCGATGTAGAATCACATCTTCTGCAAAACAAAGAGTACAGATGTCCTTTCTTTATTAGAAATCCCCAACATCCCATGATTACAGTTTTAAAACAGAGGAAAGATGTTTGGATTGATGTTTACAGTCAAATGAAATATCTCTTCAATCATTCAAATGAAATGTATGTACTATACGTTACTTCAAAGTTATGTATGTTGTCTCTTTTTAGTATAAAAAGGTATTAAATACACAATGTGTGATTTATTATTATTATTTTATCATCATCATATATGATTACTGATATATGTTCCAGAGTTTCAAATAATAGTGAAGAGATGTTGAGGCCTGTAATTTTGTATACTCTTTGCACAGCGTCTCTGCCAAGTGCATGCAAGGAGCAAACTTGGGATTTACTCCTAAAATTGCCGAGTCCGAATGTGAGTTTCCTTCTCAAAGTGCTGTCATGGATGCAGGTAAATTGAACACTTAATTTATTTTAAAGGTTTTTATTTAACACGCTCTGATCTCTGTCTAACATTGTAACTAACATCACATTTTTATATATCTGAGTTACCGTGTTACACAGTAAACTTTGCAGACAAATAAATTTTATGACAATTCATGATCACCATGTCATGATCCATCAAATATAATTGTACCATTCTTCTTTGTGCTTGACATATTTCATTAAATACTGTCCAATCCTACTCATTACAAACCGTACAATATTTGGTGCAAAAACTAAGTATTTTCAAGCAAATATCAACACTAATTTGACAATTATAACTGATGTTCATGCAGGTAAATTATGTCCCAATAATAAGACGCAATTCATAAAAATTAGCTTCCGCATCATTGTTGTTGAGTCATTGAAGCATTCCAATCTGATATTCCCTGAAAGCTAGTAGTATTTCAAATGGTTACAATACACACAATATATAAATATATAAATATATAAATATATAAATATATAATAGTGATATAGTATATAGTATATATATATATATATATATATATATATGGTATGAGTGTCAATTACTAATTTACTGTAATTGACAATATATTGTAATAAAAATATATAATACAAAATTGTTGTATATTTACTGTATTTTGAGTACAATGTACTTCCTGGAATTAATTCTTAAATATTGAAAGGTTGTAAACGTAAAAATTGCAAAATATCAAGGCATTATCGCGAATGCAGACTGTTGGCACATTGACTGCCAAATTGACTCAGATTTGGCGCCACGTTTCGAACAGCGCAGTTTTGCTACTCTTTGAAGGCGTTTAAGAAGGAAAGATCATACATTTCAAACTTCCCGCTTTCGAGATTTCTAATTTTACTCAGAAAAGCCGCGCGAATTTCTTCCCAGTTGACCAAATACTAATTTCTTTCGTACAATATTCGTCGACGTCGATTGTCAACTGCTTCCATTTCGTTCGGAGCGTCACCAAAAGATCGCATCAGCTCCTGGGCATCCGCGACGAAATATGTGCTAGTGTCAGATTTTTCGGAATCCAGCTCTTTCCACTTTAAACGCAGCGGACTCGCATTGTCACGAAAGTCAGAGGAGCCGAGCAGTTTGCAATGCACAGAAGCTAAGTGAAATGTTTGGAGCGCATTCAAAGTTCGATTCGGGGCGCTGCCAGGCAATTCCCAGTTCCTTTCTGCAGCCTGACGTGCAGTAAAACGTGAAATTCGTAACGAAAACGTTTAATTTCGTCTGGACACAGGTAACCATGGCAATCTCTCCAATTCTCAATAATCTTCTTTCTGCAAAGTAACTATCTTTGTCAATTATGTATCGTTTCATTTCCAGAACACTCTCGTCTGATGAAAACTTTCGATAGAAAAGACGATGATCGCTGCAGTTTCTGCTAATGCTCTCCCAATTTAAGCAATATTTTGCAGCCTCTATGCTGACGCTCGCGCGCTTTTTAGAGGATCGGGACAGAAACGCGGAAGTGGGCAACGCCGTGCCCGCAGCGCGCTTCGTTCAAATCGAGTGAAAGCCCTTCCTGTTTCCTCGGTGTTCTGGGAGCAATGGAAAGACCCTCACGCCTAGAAAATCTTGCCTTTGATATTAATCTTTTTTTTTTTTGCAAAGCTGAAATTTTTATTGATATAATTAAAATAAAAAGTTGATGGATAGAAATTAGAATGTAGAAAAGTTTTGAGTTTTTGCAACTTTCGAAAAATCTGGGATTTTAACGAAAATGAGACATGCACCATGAGCATACACGTCCTTCATACAATCGAACAATAAAATTTAATCAAAAACATTGGAGCTTTTTGTTTTGCAATTGTCCCAGAGACTTCATGGAAAGGAAAAGGAATAGCTAAAATTTCAAATTAATCATTCATTAATTTTTATAATTTATTTAAAAACATTTAATTACATAACTAGTATAAAAAGTAATACATAACTATTACTAAAAGCGAGAAAATATGTGCTGTTTTAGCACCACTATTTGCCTTTTTACTTTCCTGTATGTACGGAATAATATACGTAGTATAGGGAAAGTTGTGTAATGCTACAGAAAATCGATTTCGAGATTTCAACGGAAATACACGTTAGGGGGTCCCCTCACAACGAAAAAGGGTTTTTTCTTTCTTTCTTTTCAAAACGTTCGTTTGCCTGGTGTATGTGAACACAAGCGCCGAAACTATGCTTATGATATATTTCCAAACTGAAGAAACCCCTCTCCATTTGGCATCCGTCAAGGCTCTGCGATTTTGAAAAACATTTGTTTGTAGTGGTACTTAACATTAAGCCCATGGGACATTTTCAAAATTTTCTCAAAAATGGCTACAATGATTTTCTTTAAATTTCTTCTAAGAATATATTACAATACACTTACAAAGGTGGCAAAGATCCAATTTTCAAGGTTAACTCTGAATTTTTGAAACTTTCAAAAGTTTGATTTTTTCAGGGTCTTCCAACTACTACAAAATTAAAGATAGCTAGTATTTCCCTGAAATGAAATTTGTTGTCCATAATTTGTTCGTTCATTAAGGTCTTGTATATTTTTTGAAACTTTTAGTAGTTTTCGTGCAATGTTGCATGTAATTTTAAAAAATTACAAAAACAAAATTTTCTTAAAAACCGCTCCAAATTCTTTCTTTAAACTTTTCGAAAAGATTGTTCTAATAGCACTCTTTAACATGACTTAAAACTCATTTAGGTTTTTTTTCTTAATTTTTAATTTCTCATATAATTTTT